GCAATGATAAGCCAAAGTCTCCCTAAAGGATAGCTATTTCAACCCACGTCATCACCGACCATTTTGTTAGGCTTCCAAGGCAGTCTGGTAGTAACCTCTCATACTCCTGGGTAGAGAGATGCTTTGTGAGCATTGCAGCTTGCCAAAAATATAACACAGTTATCCATCTTATCGGCTTATTTTATAGAGTGATTTATTTTCTACTTTAATTTCTAAAATCTCTCAGCCACGTGTTGGAACGCACTTAATCAGTATTATGAATATCGTAAGAAGCTTTAACTATATAATTATATTTTCAATTTTTTTTTCGAGAAAGTGAAGCTAGCTAGTTCACATTTTGGTCTAAAAATAATGAAGATAGAAAATGGTAATTTATGAAATTCATGGTTTTGTAATTGCGTGTAGAGCTTGGCGGCAAAATAGGCCCTGTCAAGTCCTGAGAACCTTGCTTTGGGCTTACCTTCTGTATCGAAACTGCTTTGATTGCCGTTTTGCTGTGACGTTCGCTTTGTTACTTACCATCTACGGGTCAGACATTGTTTATTTCATTGTAGAGCAATTTTTGAGTTGAGATCTAACTAAAGAAATTTTCAGGTGTTTGAATAAACAGTTAAAGGGTCAATAAAGTCGGACATAATCTTGCAATCAATAAGAAGATAGCAGTAGCTGTAATATTATGGTCAATAATTCCTAAAATTTAATTCCATTTGGAATAATATCGTTAAGAAAAAGACAACATAGCCCTTCATATTTTGCGGAATTTTTAGATGCCGGAATATGTCAGGCCACGACATATCTTAGAAAAATGATAGCCAGAACCTTTTGTCCAAAGTTCAATAGAGTTAAAATTTGCTTCAGGTCAGACGAGGCTAATTCGGACAAGAAGGATTAATAGAGGTTATGCGATTTGTTGTTTTTGGTAGTAAAATGAAACGATTCATGAGCTTGTTTGAAAGTCGGATCGAACAAAGGAAGCACGATACGAAACTGCACACTTCTTCCTGTTCTGTTGAAAAATAAAGTTACTATTTCCCTCCTTAACCGTGGCATGTTCCTGCTGTAACGGAACTTAGAACTTAATTTGAACCACCGTTAGCAGATGAGCAGAGAGAGAGAGAATTAGCCAAAGATCAAAAGAAAGAAGCTTACACAAATGCAGCCGGATTGCATTATTCAAGACGCTCTAGGTCTCAGTCTTTCAAAGTCCTTTGTTACTAAGTGGGAAGTTACCTCCAGCGAGAAAGAAGTCACTGATATTGACTCACAAAGATTGGCATAAAATAAATAAATCAAACACGAAAAGGATGGCAAGGATTTGGAAGATTTAAATGTTTTGCCATGAGTAAAATTTAACCGTGGGCAGACCGAGACGTCGCCACGTTTACAGATCGGGATGAGTGTAGTATCAACTTCATAAAAATATTTCCACACAAAAATGACGAATTTCAGTTGCTACTTAAGTTACAACCATTTTGCATGAGAAGAAACGAGTTTCAATAATTTGCTTAGTCCCACATGCAAGTTGAGGCAAAGGTTTTATTCTCTCTATCATTAGCGGCACTTCAAAAGTCACCCCCAGACAGTTCTTTTAGTTGTCCCTGTTCGAAAATAACCTGATTAATTGAGATAATGTGATTGATAGAGAATCATCCATTGTGTTCTTTCGTTTACTTAAATAAGGGAAATTACTAATAGTTTTTTTTTTTCATATAGATACACACATGTATGTAGTTGACTTTCTTTCACCAACCCATAGATGATATTTATATTTGTTGTGGAACCAATAATCGCGTATTGCCAGCTGCACAGTACCATTAGACACGTTAATAATGATTCACACTTTACCTTAAAACACACATTTGTAATTACTACAAAACAATAAACACCGTTTCCAATTGCGTGACCTTTAATCATATGATCACATGATAATCAAGCCCCTGGACGAAGACAGCTTATGTTGTCTCTCTGCTAAATTTCCAGGAGCGCCGAATGAAACATATCCAAAATACTTACAAATAAACGATCTTTATCTGCGATGACTACGCAGTTGTGATACAGGAAAGAGATTCGTCCCAATCCTGATTCAGTTCGGATGACCATGTGGGGTGAAAGAGAAAGGTTTTTTGTTCTTGGTCTAAGAAAATTTGCAATTTTTACAGACGCGCTGGACATGCCAAATGATCGCCAAAGACAAAGGTCAAACTTTAGATTTGTTCTAAAAAATAAAAGAAGTTTGAGAGTGGAATTTTACTGAATTTACGCCCTGAGGCGGAATGTGCGATTTCAGTCAGACAAGTTTCCGCGATGGACCGGCGAAAAGTCTTGCAGAAATAAAAACTGCAAGTGGATATAACCAGGTTGATGTAGTAATATGATCAAAAGACAACTTCGCTCCCATGCGAAATATAAGAATGGAAAGAATTTCTTTGATGCAAGGGAGTTTTTCGGTGGTTTGAATGTTTTACATTTAAAAAGCGAATATCATCCAAATTAAGGGTTGACTCTTTCTCGAATGCGGTTGAAAAACTACATGCACGATATCCTTTCACACAAGTAGCTATCGTTGTTCGCGACCAAAAATCAAAGTTGGCCGCACATTTTCTTACGGATTTTGGAGAGTGTTAAAACTGGGTCATTCATTAAACTGCTAATGACATTAGCGAAATCCGAGTTTTTTAAACGGCTATACTAGGTCGAGTCGTCAAAAATCAGTGTTTGTTTCAAGTAGGAGTTTCATTGGAGAATTTCAGAATCAAAAGGAAACCGTACTGTTTCAATAGAATGAAAGTTGAAAGGAATTGCGTTTAATTTTTCATATACAACTACGAAAAGTCTGTTAATTTAAACATGTTGCGAACGTCAAGTACTGAAGAAAGTTTGTGAGGTGACAGAGGACGTTCGCGTGCAAATCATTCAGATGGAAGTTCTAGGGTTGCGTGTTGCTATTTAAACTATTGGAAAATATTTTTGAAATAGCTCGAAGGTTTAAAAAGTTAATTATAAGTTTGTCTCCGTGACTGCTCTGTCGGAATGCCGACTTTTTTTATTCAATAATCGACTCTGGTCGAAACTCTTGAAATGTAATGATGCGTGTAGTGTACTCAAGGGGTACTTGGACCAATGAGTCATTAGAGGACGCAAGTCTCTTTCGTTTATTTTCGAGGTTCCAGGTGTCTGAGAACATTTTGTTTTCCACTTAAGATGACAAGAAACGGTGGGTTTCAAATAATTGTTTTGGAGACATAAGTTTTTAGAGGAACAAAAAAGTGCTTGCATGAATCAAGTAATTGAGTTCAAAGTTTATTTGTTATATAACCTACGTTCTACGCACGTGTCTCATATATTAGAGTAACGCATGGAATACAGTTACGGTTGTTCATATGACTGTCAAGAAAGATCGGAGGTACGATATGATATTTTGCGTTTTTAGGCTCTTTTTGTTCGGATTATAGGATTTAGGGCGTTAAGAAAAGATTCGTGTATATACCGTGTCGATCTATTTTAGTTCACCACCCCAACTCACGAAAGCTTTTACACTACACTGATTAATGAAAGTAGGTTCATTCAGTGTAGTATTGATTGACATTAGTAGAGATAAAGAGCCTCGCAACAATGGCGCCCTCTTTATTGTAACTTTACAAAAATGCACTCTCTTGTTCGATATACAAAGCTTTTACAAAGCGAATCAAACAGCCGGAAAACCCCGAAGCATTTTATTCAACGAGCGTCTTAAGAAAGCTCGCCCTCCTTAAAATTCAGGGATCTCGCTTAATAACTTGAAAATGCAGACAAATCCTGGCGAATTAATCGCAGAGGGGAGAGATATTTGAACTTTAGTGCGCCGTGGAACTAGTTTAGTGATCAAATTTTTTTCGTATAGAAAGTCAACAGGAAATCGAAGAAATGGCTAATTTCCGAGTAATCATTGATAAGAGGAACACTTTCACGTACAAGATTTAAGTCATCTGCTCGGTTCGCAATTAACAAGATAACGGGTTTCGCGGGCAGTGAGCTTATACGCTCTATAAATATCGTTCAATGGCCCCATTCTTTACTTGTGCACCAAGATAGAGTCTAAAAACGCTTTGCGTATCGATTCCGGTGTAACGTGTCACGTTCTGAAACAATAATGAATCACACGATTCTAATATTTCAATTGCAAGTTGATATCGAAATCAAAACACAAGTAAGAAAGTGTTTACAGATTAGCTATGAAAATATGTCAAGGTTCAATGATTATAACTCTTAAGGTACAGGCTAACAATACACGCACCAATTAGATTCGATGGTTGATTTTTTTTTTCTTCTTCCCATTTTTTTTTTCTTAAACAGAAACACGTCGAAAGATCAGACAGGTATCAACGAAGTTACGAAAATTTTGGCTTTCAAAAGCAAACTCGTGCTTCATTTTCACCAAAATCCTTTCACTTTAACCTTTTCAATCGTACTATTGTTTACACGATAATCAACATGTAAGAATTGAATTTTTTTTATTCGAATTGAACGTTCGAAACAGTTCAGGCGATAAAACCGTGTATGAAGCTGGAATTTGCATGACAAAGCGAACGAGGCAAGCCAGGTCATCGAGAAAAGCGATTTTAATGGGTCATTTTGGCGCTGCAGCAAGACAAACCGTAACTAGAACCCAGCAAACTTGTTTTCGGTTTCAATTAAATTGACTGCTCTGAAACAACTGAAGAGCAGTTCATTTCGACAGGGTGCCATTAATAAAAGACTGATTCATGTGGAATATGTAAACACGAAGCTTGTTCCACCAGCTCTAACGAAAATGTAATTTTTTTCGCGCGCTCTCAAAGAAGCGCGGTGCTTTTGTCGTATAATGGTTCTGCGTTCAAACAAAGTCATCTGAATCATCTGTTACCCCTTCCTATTCCAATATCGCGTGATATCGACATTATAGTGGTGAATACTGGCCACGGCAAATTTGAATACATTAGGTTAGTACGGAGAGCTGTTTGTATTGTATACAAAAGGTGTGACGACAGCTTACGAAACAATGAAATCCCCTAATACAATGTAATTGTCGGCTTTTATGTTATCACCTCTGCGGCGTTTGGATCAACACTAAAAAGTTTCGAAAACGCGTCGAAACACTGCAGAGTTCGAAACAAGCGGATACTAGACAAATATTCGAAAGAGCGAAACTGTAAACCAGTCAAGAGAGCATTGAGTGATTAAATACTCGGATTTCTGAGGTAAGTTATAGCGGTTTACTTACAAATTCTCTTATGATTTATTAAGTGCCTTAATTTCACGATCTCTAATTTTCCATCTTGAGCTATAAGCGGTCTTTAACACCTACTTACTAGGAAATGCTTGATAAATTGTCCTAGAGGTTTGAAGCTCACCACATTGACGTTGACAGTTTTGGCAAAAAGTGGCCTATATAATTTTCTTCAAGCGTGTTTATCTTGTAATCAAACATTACGTATTCAATATAGAGTACATATTTACAAAGTTTTACCCCATTCTTTCTCTAATATCTTTTCGAAATAGTTATACGTGTGTATACATGGCTCACACATGAAACGAGCTTCATTTGGCATTTTCGGCAAAAGTTTGGCGAAAATATTCATCCTTGAAAATGTAATTCAGTTTACAAAGTCTTTAACAAGTTGCGACAAGTCACTGACAACGGCCGGTCATTTGTTTTGCCAAAGGGGTATTAACACTTCAATGAACAACTGTTATAAGCTCAGAAATAGGTTGCCAGAATTTTGGATTTTGATTTCCTTACTTGGCATTTCAAAGATCTCGGCCAATTGCTGTCTGAAGGCTTGGTGATGAGAAACTGTAAGTAGCGTAAGACCTAATATCAAAATTAACTTAACACTTAATTCACCTGCAGCGCGAAAATGTTCCATTACAACTAAACACGTTCGGTTCCTTTTCTAGAGTGTGCTCTCATTATATTATCATAAACAGGATTAAGAGTGTAACAACTGTGGAAGTCTAAGATCTTCTTTTATTTTGGTGATGAAAAAGCGACGAATCCTCGACTTCCAACAAAGAAAATTGTTTTGTGAGAAGGCAGTTAAGCACACATGTGACTGAAGCAAAATAAGCGGGTGGCAATTCGAGGTTAAGGACAACAAGCTGCGACTTACTATTTTAGTCATTTTGCGGACTCGAGATGTAATTTTTTCATTACATACATGAACTCCGCAAATATTAAATTGTAAGAAGAAAAGCGCATATGTCTCCTTTAAAAAAGAGAAAAAAAGAGCCATAGTCCTTTCATAGGCCGTTGTCGCACCATCCGTTGGCTTAAAGTTTTACGGAGTGTTGCGCAAGCTCTAAGCGAATTCACTTAATTTTCTTAAAGGAAAACAGTTTTCTTAAACAATTGCAAACGAGATGTTTCGTCTTTCAATTTTGAACTTGCGTGACTGACGTGAAAAGTCGTATTCATGGTGATCTGTATATCGTTTAACGCTGGCACGGGTGGAAGGTTGTTACCGGTTTGAAAATAACTTACAGGTTAGTATTTAGGCAAAGGCTGGTTGTAGTTCTTTAAAAAAGGAAAGCTTAGGCAAATTCAGCCGAAGTCAAGCGGTTTTTTTTGCAGTCACCTAGGGAGAGCGAAAGTGTAAATTAAACCATTGTCGTCGTGATAATTTATTCCAGCCCGCTCTCATGAGATACATTATTGATGCTTCAATTTTAATTGCCCATTGGTTTTTCAGAGAGGAAAGAGAAAACGCAAGGGGGTTGTAACGGCTTCAATTTCAGGCAGATATCTGGTGTTTTAGGTTTTTTTTCAATTTCTTGTTTTAATTCTTCTGGTTACAAGACTTTCTTGGTCCATGTATGTATTTTTAAATCATTTTCGATTTTCTCACTTAAACGCACAATCATTTTCTAACAATTGGTTTTCATCATTTTAACGATTGGTTTACATCGGGTCGTGTGAAGTAGACTTCCCAAGAATTGATCTTTTCAATAGCTCTTGTACGTGCTTCGAAGATTTCACAGCAAGTGTGAATAAACTGTCTCCATTCCATGCATATAGGTTACCGGCTTTGTTACAGTGCACTTCGTGTGTCAATTAGATGATTTCCGTGCCTGATTAAGGTTCATTTCGTGATAAGGACCTGTTTGCTTCGCTCGTGTTTTTGTTTAAAGCAGAAGAATTTTAGGATCAATGTTCGAAAGACAGTTATTCGCAAAAGTCACGACAACGAACAGCTGTGTCAAGCTTGGTAAAAGATCTTAGATCTAAAAATTAGTAGAAACTCTTGTGACTGAAAGCGATTTTATTTCCTTTCGCCAATTGCAAACGGAAGTCAATCATGATATATAGGACTACGAAATCCCCAATTCTCAGGTCCTTCTAAGAAATTCAAGACAATAAAACTGTTAATTTGTGTCGTGCTTCTCTTTAAGTGAATGCATGTGTCGTGTTCTGTTCTAAACAATGCAACATAATTACGTGGGCAAAAACCAATCATTTAATGTCACGTGATTTCAAGATGGTTACCTGCGAAACGCATATATAAACTAACACCGCACAAAACAAAATGAGAGGGAAGGGTAGCTCTTCTTCGTGTTAAAGTTTTAAAACGATTGCTATATACAAAACAAAACAAAGAAAAAATATACTTTCAGTGTTGTTTTATCTACCTTAGGTCACAGGAATCTTAAGTCAGCTCATCATGTTTAGCTTGTCATCATACCTTCCTCACTCCGTTTCTCTTTCCTCACCCAAATCCCCCTTCCCCCCCCCCCCCCCCCCCCGACAAAAGAAAGTTCATTAACACCCACTGATGCTTAATGAAACCAAATAGTTCTTGACTGGATGCACATTATTAAAGCTCTGTTTCTTAATCGGCGCCATGGCAAAGTCTGTGTCTGCATGGACTGCGATTTAAATATCGAGGTGTGACTGAAGCAATTCTGCGGGAAGACTTGTTGCCTGGGCGATAAGTGCGGTAATATATCTTCACATAATTTAGACATGTTTCTTTATGCCCGATAGTTACGAAATTGCAGTATTTTCAAAAGGCTTCAGAAGATATCATTTCCACATGTTTGCCACATGAAAAAAGGATTATTCATCCTTCAGGTTTTCAGACTCATGTACTCTAAGATCTCTCAATATTCCAGAAGAATGACTTTTCAAGACAATAGTCGGCGAGCTATTTCAATGAAAAGGCATCTTATTGTAGTCTAGCAACGCGTGTAGCAACACAGCTATAGATATACCGCCCGTTGTGCAAATACTGTTTCTAGGAATTTTACTTTTACTTTCGTTTTCGCCTTAATTTCGTACTTGGGTTTGGTTTAGAATGACTCAAATCAAGAAATTATTATTATATTATATTATTATTTCTTTGGTCTTGCCTAGATTCATAATTATAAGCCAGTCCGAATAGTGTATAGTCTTTAAAGAGAACTTTTGAACATCCATTTGCAACCAATGTCATTCGCTGAGGGAATGATGAGCATATCAATTGATCACATCTCTTTCCTTGCAATTTTTGCCATGCTATGTATTTAAGTTTGTGGGTTGTTGTTTTTTACCAATTCTATTGTGTTGAGATCAACTGACGAATGAATACATATGGACGCGCTATTGAAATTATTTCTTGTCCTTGTGCTATCTTTAATTGATGCTAAAAATTCTCATGTACCTCTTCAAATATAGCATGGAGCAGGCCAGGATGAATAATTTTTTTAATGGGTATGTGCAGTTGCTTAAAGTTCCGTAGTTCTTCTAGCACTTTTATTTAATTCAATGTTCGTCGAGGGTTTCGATCAGCGAGCACGGTTAGCAACCTACCAGAAATGGGTGACCGCTTCAATTGATTTCTTTTTCTTTTTAGCTAAGTTCCTTTAGATAAGCAGAAATTACATACTCGAAGTTGAATTTCACTCAATTAGTAAAAAAAAAAAATATGCTGAACAGTACCTCTAGGATTTCATACTTTTCATCACAACTAGCTGCAAAAAAAAATAATAAATAGATAAATAAAAAAATTAAAATGCAATTTCGTTTCCTGAAAAAGTTCCAGAATGGAGACGCGCTCCTTGTGAATTCTTTGGTTTTCGACTATCTATAAAAGTTCATTGTCTCCCATTCAGAAACAGCCCTAGGCTTTGATATTTTCTGCTTATTATTTTATTATGGGTTAATTAAGTTTGTGGTAAACTGAAAGGCCTCCGTGGGGTTTGTTGTAGACATGAACAATGGGCAAAAATAGCACATATTTGAAGGACTTTGAATCAATATATGTCATTTTCGATCAAAGTTCACAACCCAACAATTTAAAATGATTATATGCAAAACATAATACACGATTTTAATTATGATCACCTAAGGACGTACAAAAATAGAGAACACCAGAAAAAATTTTCAGTTGCGGTTGTAAGAAGGATCGAGTTATCAAAAATTCTTAACTTATGATCTAGCAAGATCATGGCTTGAGCATATTGAAAATTTTGGCGCATATCAACTAGTCTGTTACATCATCCTCTTTCATGTTTTTATTCGTTTTTTTCTATCTTAACTTTTCTTAATTAGCAAACTATCATTGTATGATTTCCCTCACGCCAGAGGTAAATTTGTATGTTTTAAAAAAGGCTCTTATGGTTTCAACACTGACAGAAAAAAAAACCCTTTAGTCCTTCTGCGTTTTTGATCTTGCAGTTTTCTGCGTTTCTCTTCTTATCAAAACATCAATCATTTCTTATGACCACTCTATTCGAGTAGCGTGACTTTTATCAATGGGCGTCTTTTAGTTAGTAGCGAGACTTTCAGTCGCCACCGTCGTCACGATGCAAAGCAATGTTTAACCGTCAAAACTGGTTTTGCTTGTTTAGGGCAGCAATTGGTGAAAAGAAAAAACACTACAATATCTTTGTTTGTTTGCGCATAAGATATTTAACTTGAGCTTTTCGTCAGATTGAAGAAAACCTGAAACAGTTACATAAAAAAGGGTCAAAAGTAAAAAAGAAAACAAAGCTTACATTGCATTCTAGGATGATTATTGGTTAGACTGGTCTTAAACCGCCCTGAGTTGACAGCCGAGCTTCGTTCACTAGAAAGACGTAATTGTCTAATATTGCACTTACTCAGTTATTTTGCTATAAATTAATACCTTCTCGTTTAAGGAAATCTGGTTTAATATTTTCCTTGCTTTTTACAATACTAGACCGCCTTTCACAGGTAAATAGTTCAGGCTGGTTGTTTGAAGGATGAATAATGCTATCCACTGGAGAAATCGCTATCTGGTGGATAACGCAGTAGGTTTTGTTATCATATCCGCTGGATGGCGATTTATCCGTTGGATAGCGTTATCCGCCCTTTGTACGACTGGGCCCTGAAATATAAATAGGAAACCCAATATCTAACAGGCCTACGCTTCTGAAACTATGGCTTGCAGCTTAAAAGGTAAACGTTCAGGTAAATAAGTTGGAAATTATATACTGTAGGTTCCACCAACCTTGTTTAACACGAGAATGAAAACAATAACATCTGGAAAAAGCTTTTTTCTTCTGGAAAGAACACACTTAGGTAGCATTCCAAAAGTTTCCCACAATTTATTTAAATTTGATTTAAAAGGTTTGGGATTGTTTGTGCAAGCTAATTTTGAATCATGCTTCTCCTTACGAGAGAGAACCTTTGATGGATAGAACCAAAGCATCGATCTGAGCCAACATTCCTCCAACATTCCTTCAACTTTGCTTTCTACTCATGTTTCTATTCTCTTTCTACAATGCATCTTTCTTAGTTTAGTATATTTTTGGCCTAAGAATTAAAGAAAATCGCCAAAATTCTACCAGCTTAAGTAAATCAGTTGTAAATCCCATAACTCATCAGCTTGATGATTCCTAGTTAATCTATAGCCCAAACCGAAATTTGGACTGACTTGCTCTTTCTTCAGTGCAAATTTTTATTTATTTATTTTTAGTTCAGCATATTTTTGGCCTGAGAATTAAGGAAAATCGCTAGCATTCTACCAGCTTAAATACATCAGTTGTTAATCCTATGAGTCACTAGTTAATCTAAAGCCCAAACCGGCCGAAATTTGGACTGACTTGCACTGCTAAGCGAATTTCACGGATTACGGCGGCTCTGAGGCTTCTTTACAAAGTAACAAGCCGGGATGCCATCGGAATACGTGAGTTATTGAAAGAGGGAATGACCCCATAACTCATTGAAACACTGCCTACAATAAAATGGTCGCCAAGTGTACTATGCAATCATTTTCGAAAGGACGGGTCTTTTGTTCTGTAGCAGACTACTCTATTAAACTGGCGCTGTCAAACAATGAGAGACAACAATCATTGTGTCGTGCTGAGCCTGTGAAACAAGGGGAGGATTGAAATCCCGGTGCTAGGCTAACTTGTGCACGTGCGCTTCCAATATCATGGGCAACAGAACCTAAACAATTTCAATTTTTGTGAGTTTTTAAGACTAATTTTTTCACTGTTATACCGAGTAAGCAACAATCTGCTATGAAAACAAACTACATTTCCGTGTCGCCATGATGACATCTTCATGACAAGAGAATTGTCAGAAATTGTTCATTGAAGATTAATTAGATAATTACGCAATACCACGCTGGCTAATGCTTTGGCTAAAATTGAATTCTGTTGGGCAGTAAGAGATGGTTTCAACTCCTTAATTAGCAAATTTAACGAAACAACAATGTCTATGATGATGAACTGTTTTTCTACCTCCTTCAGCGGGTAACCAAGAGTTTTACTCTATCGCGCATGCCAATAGAAGATGATCGACTAGCTTTTGGAAGACAAATCCCTCTTAATTTTAAGATTAAACGTTTCTCAAGGGTAAAACGTAAAATATGTATCAACCTCTAATAATCCAATCTCTCTTCTGCGGCAAGTGAAGCACTCCAGTTGGTTTAACCTTGACAATCATGTGAGGTCAGATTTAAGGGCTTGAAATGAATTAAAACTGCACCAATATCTTAAAATGAAATTGGCTGGGGAGAGTGTTGATTTCAATAGACGAACCTTGTCTTAAAACTTGTAACCTATGGCGAACAATTTACTCTGTTTCGAAGAGCGCCTAACAACTGATATCACCTCTACCTCGGAAACCGACCTCTTGGTCAAGCACTTCCATAATTTTAGGTGTCACGGTAAGCATAACTCATATTTTGCAATTTGGTCATCCTGCCTCTAAACACGTTTCAGTAACCTTGAAACACAAATTAGGTGAAAAGTGTTAAAGGATGATTTTACTTACATACTTGTTTACTTTTGTTCCTACTCGATCCAAATAATTCCGCTTGCGATGCCTCCTTTTTGAGATATCGGCCGAGCTTCTTTAATGTCCCTTTTCCTGAGGTTGCAGCGATTAATCAGACCCACGAATGAGAGATCGTTTGAAAAAAATAAACAAGCCAATTTTACTATTTGGCCGTCCTTAGAAACCCACCCGCTGAAAATAAATATAGCAACTAACTTATCAAAACACTTAGAATGTTTAACCGAAAATTAATCGTAGCGGAGAGTCACAAGGGAATAGGCCAGTACATCCAAGGAAAGGATGCGAATACTTAGGTTACACAGAGTTTAATGCCCAGCCTAGGATCATCTAGTTTAGTACGTAAGTCAGTATTGAATGAAAGTACTCTTCAGTATGTGGCTTTTTTATGAAAAAAAAAAGCGATTCATGAGAGCTTCATTCGCAATCTAAAAGTCTATAAAATTACTCCGTATTTTTTAACAATGAATAAAATGCAGGCTTATATATATTTTTGCTCTAAGGTAATTCAAGAAAGACTTGTAAAATGAGAACGATCTCGTCTTGAAAACAACAATCAATCTCAAGTAGAAAAGGAAAAAAGGAAAAAACGCTAAAGTATGAAATTGCTTAGTATCTTCAGTGAATGAATAAAGAGAGGCTTTTCTTGATTCTAAGTTTACTTTGATAGTTGTTTGATTTCTATTTCCTTTTTACTCTCTCTCTCATGCTTTCTCTCTTTTTTATTGCAAAATATATGACAGTTTAGAAAATTTTTCCAAAGATTTTACTTGGCACCAAGCAGAGAATTTCAGATATGTATACACGAATTTTTTTTTGATATTTTGCTTAAATAACGGTCACTCGTTTGAACAGTTTACCCATTAAAAATGACATTAAATAAGGAGACTAAAAATATGAATTTGATGTGAGCGTTTCATATTCAAAAAAAGGGGGTTAAAATGTTTAATTATTCTGTCAAAGATCTTCAGTCACAACCAACAATGCACAGTGCAAAGATATCACTGTTGTTTTCAATATATAAATTAACTTTACATCATTCATAGAAAGGTTCGAATCAACAGGATATACACGAGAAAAGGCGGGGAATCTATCCTGGGAGTTTTTCTTTGAATTGAAATTATTAATTATGACTTTACACTAAAAGCTCGTGTCCTTTTGATGTAAAAGAAACACATGCTTTCTTTTAAGTTTCTCTACAGAGACCAAAACGTGATCCACCCATTAAGCTAATATGAAAAGATTGTTTGTGAGTCGATTTTTCTTTATTTGTAGATCCAACGATAAGTGAGATTTTCAAATTCCAGTTCCTTTAGGGTAGGAACTGGGTCTGAAAAGTAGCCCTCGAGACGTCTCTTGATTCTATTTTCTATGAGCGCATTACCATTCATTTACTTTCATTTTGGTGCGGGTCATTAATAATCTGCTGAGTTAACTATTATTTTCAAAATCCTGAAAAATTGATTTTATCTCTTCAAGACCCCTGCGGAGTTTTCCAAGGGTCGAAACTCTGTAAATCACTTTTTTACATTATCACAGAAGAACCTCCATTTAAATCATCGTGCATTATATGTCCTTGTAAAGGCCTTTTTCTAATCTCCACTTTCCTATCAGATTAAACCCTGTTTTAAAAAAAAATTAAGGTACAGCCGCAACACCTGAAAGATCTTAAACAAACTCTTTGACAGCTCTAGTCCCCCACAGAGTTTGTCTGCATCCTACACTACTTCATTAGGATCATTGTTAAAAAACTTATTTTCCTCTTTACAACACCTGAAAAGAGTTAAACAAGTTTTGCATTCTCGTGTGGACTCCTATTGAGTTGTAAAGCTGGCTGAGTGATAAACTACAATTTTTGGTATGACGTTAGATCTAACAATAAAACCTAAACACAGCACGTACGAAAAGTGAACCGTGCTCGGGACATCACCTGGATCTAAAACTAATCCAAAAAGTTGACCAAGAGGCACCCAACCTGGAAATTCACTGTTTTAGTACAAAAACGTGATTAAGATTATCTTTTACCGTCGACTCTTTATTAAACTGCTTATCAACAAAACCAATATCTCTATTGCACTGAGAGTTTTTGCTATTAACAACTTTTATTTGCTGGGTAACAACCAGGTGTCTCAACAAAAATTGATATATTTAACATACATAACGTTTTTCCTCTTTGTTAAGAATAACTGAGAGTACCACAGGGAACTGTCTCCATTAGCAGCCTCTAAATAGATGGCCTATGTTTCGTCAGTAAACATTTCATATCTTGAAAGCATTAGTGTGGCATTGCCATAACAAGACAAAGCTGATGACTCAAAAGTGAAACCTGTTAACAAATCCTACATTATGGACACCATATCGTGTTTCAAAACATATATTTAAAACGACTCATTAACAATTAATTTGTTGTTTGTAAAAGAGACTGCTTAAGGAATTTGAAATCACCAGACAAGAGAATACTTCTCGATTTCACTCAGAAACGAAATTATTCTTTTAGATGTATGTTCTTTTCTTTTACATACTCATAAGCTGCAAGTTTTTCAAAGCCAAAACGAGTGACTTTGAATTTGGAATTTAAACTCAAAATCTTGTTTTTATTATTATTTGTCATTAAAACGAGATAGCGGTGCGTATAAGCTTTTAATATGACATGAAACAAAAATAGACCAAAAGTAGAAAGCACAAGGTATTTCCAAACAGTGTGACATAATCCAGTGAAAAATGTTAATGTATTGTCTGTTACCTCACGCTATTAAATTTTCCCTTGCAATAAATGACAAATTCCGTCCGAGAAAAAAGATATATATATATATTTTAAATTTTTCTTTCCAATTTGATATTTTGGTTACCTAACTAGTTGTTTTAAATTATTTGGGAAAACTTCAGTTTAAAAAAATATTGTTTCGTCAGTGACTTAAAAGTTTTTTCGTAATCATTTTTCATCAAATGGAACAATTGATTTATCATACAGTGATGTTTAAAAGATATGCTTCTTTATTCATTTGGAACGAGTGCCTTGTGTGAAAATGAATGGAGATGAGACCGTTATCATTCTCATTTCTGGCTGACGATGAGTATTTGGAGAGCTTCTCGATGAATTTCATTTCCTAGACTCAGGATGTCACAAAAATATCACTCACCAAATGCTTTCTTCATTGTTTGCACGGTAAATTTCAAGGGAGATAACCAACAAATATGAGATTTTCCATCGACAAAAGAGCTTTCGAAAATTACTTTTCTTTGTCGTAATTGCATAATTGCACATGAACTTTTACTGCTGCCGTCTTAGTGTCGCCTTTCAGCGCTTTGTTGGCTTGGAAAATTACCTTAATTAACCCTGACTCACACAAGAAGCAATAACTGGATGGTCATTTGAAAGGTTTATGGAAACTCCTCAATACCTGAGTGATTTCAAGTGTGTTTTGTACTTTCAAAATAAACTTTCAGCGGTAATTTTTCTTTTCCACTCGAAGTTGTTAAAAAGTTTAATTAATCAAATGAATCTTGATCAATTTGGGGGGAAAATCCTTTTTTTTTTTCTGTATGTTTTGTTAAACGAAAGTTTGCCGGTGAAGCGATATTATGTGATCCAGGCGAATGGTCTTTTCTTGTCAGTTAGACACCTGCGCCACAGCGGGGCAAAGGAGATATTTTCTGCGCGCGTCATTTTCTTTAATAATAGTCTTTGACACATGTGTCATTTGAACCTGTAGAAAAGAGCAAATAAAAAGATTCTTATCAAAATGCTGGTATACAGATTTTGAGCAATTTTGGAATCACTGAACAATTTTGTACCGAAGTGTTAACTATCGGATTCAATAATTTAGCGCTTTCTGTCACAGTTAGTGAAGTAAGTCGATATAAATCATTTCACGTAACGGCTGTATAACTCACGGTATGCCACCTTTAGCGAAAGAACAAAACTCTTTTGTGAAAAAGGAGTAGTTATTTGCCTCGAACTTTAAAGTACACAGACTGGTAGCTGCTTCAAATTAGGATACCCGCTATGTTAACACTTGACCGAATGTGTTCATATACTTAACATTTTCCACCCACAAACATGATGATACAAGGTTGACTCATGTCAGAACTTGATACTTTAGGTAAGGATGTTCTACGTAATCAAGTAAAAGCTTCAGTTTTCTTTCAGTGCGTTCAAGACATTATATTCCATTCAAGATTGTAAAATAGCACGAGCCAATTGTGACACAACTTCATTCCAGTCACATCTATACAGTCGTGAAAAGCTATTTCTTAAACTATCTTGAAATCAAGGATACTAAAAAAAATTATCTATGGTTTTAAATCAGGCAAAATCTAGGCCGTTTTAATTTGTAGCTATATTGGATTTAAGTCAGATGAGTTGGCGACTAATAATTGTACGCTGGCTTACGTGATAACATGCAACTCACGTTCTCATTGGACACGCACAGTCCCGCGCCGTGAGTGGTCGAACAAGAAACACAATGAAACCCTTTTAACATAATGTAATTGACAGTTGTATTGTCTGTTCTTTGTTTGGTATTTTAGTAACCTATGTAGTAAGTAAAACGTGTTTCTACTTATAACACTTCAGGTGGCGTTGGTCAGGGTTTCATAAAACACATAACGAACACGCTGAATAGTGGGACGACGGGCCGAGCACAACTAGGCTTATCATCGAGTTTCAGGTAAGAAAGAAGCGTTTTGATTTTTAACTTTTAAGTAGTGGTTCTCCAGATCGCACACCTTATTTCTCGCTTGTAAGAGGTTACACATGAATATTTAAGTTTGCAGCGTTGTTACCAAAAGTTTGTTCTCCTTTCGAATAACAATTCGACGTAATCCAAACTCGATTTCTGCCCTTTTCTTCACGGTAAAGATGATTGTACGTGTTGTCCAGACTCTAAGGACTCGACCAGCTAAATGGTTGTAGAGATGAAGGAAAAAAGTTTTGACCATTTGAGTAAAAGCTTTATTTGTAATTTAAGTTCACCCTGAGGACATAAAAGTCATGATTTTTGTCATAAAAGTCATGTTATGTCATCGAACCAATCTCCCCAGATTTAGCGACAAGAAAAATTTTTGGTTATATCGTGTAGACGGCCTCACGAAGGAGTAGCTTTCAAAATATTTTTACATAGAAATATTTATTTTCGTGACTTTTGGTTGCGCTTTGATCTGTCTGTTTAACCTTGAAGTGTACTCTTTTGTATAATGTTACGGTAAAAAGTAATGGAATATTCTGGCGGGCAGATTGTTGAATGTGTACACTTAAAATAGCTGCTATTTTTAGCCAAGATGGCATGAAATGATGAGCACGCGAATTTTTGGAAAGATACTTCTGGGCCAGCGTTGTCAGGTTTGGTTAAAACAATGTTTTTCTAAATAGGTGTCCGTTACTTTAGAATAAATTATTCACAGATCGACCGTTCTATTTTGGTTTTGCTGCCGCGAGGAGAAAAAAAATGACGTTCTATTTTTGTAACAGGCTTGAATTGATAAGTAATCGAAGACGTTCTTACAAAAAAAAAGCACGATAAGCAACTTCCGACTAAATTGTACAGTACAGCTACGCAATGCGAACCTATGCGGCGATTCATTTGTATGCATTTGTTTCGAGCAGTAATAATACATTGTTGCGATATGGCGTTGTATCTAGAGATGTGTTTTTGTAGTGAACAATGGGACGTCAACAACATAGAACCTATCATAGGTTTTTATTTGTCAGAAGTCGGTTTGCGCTGCAGCTAAACGCCTTAAAAAGTTGATTAGGCTTGTAGATGGTTGTTATCTTTTATAGTCAAAAGGATCTTTGTTAGTAGTGTGCGTTGCTTCATTTTCACGTTTTCTAAACAGGTGAGCAAAGTCCGTAAAATCTGTGGCTATTTTGTGATCGCGTGTGTGTACACTTGCACATCGCGTGGTCTGAAGTGCGTGTTCGCTCATACGTGACCACTCCTGAACGCAATCGATTAGACCGAACACATTGACGGCGGCTGGGATAGTCACACGCGCCCGAAAATTCTTATTTCATCGCCATTAAACGACAGCAGTTTTAGCTATGCGAAAAGAGTATCAGCTCGACAAAAGCGGAGACCATTTTGTCCGCAAGATACAACTCACAGCTGGTACTGTTTTATTACACGAAGAAGAGTTTTAATGTTCATTCTTTCTGGCTGGAAGCCTATTCAAACTTACTCGGTTGGGTACCACTGAAGACATTGTTTAAACATCATGTTTGCAACTTAAACCATGAAACTAGCAGTAATCTTACAAGGTGATAAAAGCTATGCTCCGATTCATCGCATTGAATTAGACTGTTTATCATTCAAATACCGCAGCCTCAGTACGTGAGCAATCGGCAATGCTTAGGACATCATGGGTCAAACCCTAAGATTACGAGGGTGTTGGCTAAACGCCCGAAAAATTCAAACCGGATCTTTTGGGGAGTAGTTGCTTTTTTTTCCCTTCCCTTGACTGATAGCGTGTGACTCACATGCCTAAGAAAAATAAAGTAAACAAGCAGTGCCAAGAAGTGTAAACATTGACTTAGTTGATTAGCTGTCAGACACTTGGTTAAGTAGGAGATATTACTAGTCAGCTTAAATCTGTCGAAATATTCTATATACGTGATACTACAGTTTGAGAAAGAGCATCACTTACGCTAACTATCTAATATAATACTCAATGGTCTCCTTTACAACACGAGTGGAATATTTTCGGAGTATAACCCGTTGCTCGGTTACATAAACTTCCTCTAATGTAACAAAAACGACTCTACAATATTGTTTCTTTTCTTCCTAAAACTTAGAGCTTTTATTAACAAATTTTCTTTATCTTTTCTTGTACCCTGGAGGCAGCATTTCTCATTTGTGAGTCAAATTTTTGGTCAACCATTGAATCGACGCTAAAATCAAGTCATAAGTGATTTTAACTGTTTACATTAGCCGGCGCGTTGAGTAACGATTTCAGTTTACCGTTGTAACGTTTCCTTTCCTTTTCATCTGAGCCTGAAAAAAAGATTCAAGAGAGAAATCATGCCCTGTTATTCTGTTATTTAATACAGAGTCAAAGTAACTCCATATGCTAAAACACAATAGGCTTTAGGACTCCGCTGCATGCAGAGGAAATGATATTCAAAGATATAGGATAAAATGGTGTAATTAGTGTTCGGTGAGAAACAAGCCTTTGTGGTAGCTCGCCGTCATCAAAACTCAAGGAATAGTACTTCTGTACATGTTTCTTCGCAATAAAAGGAGTATTTTTTCGCTTTTGTGTTTTCACGTCGACATTTCTCTGCTCCTTACAGTTTGAAAATCTTTATTTTGTGTGGAATTAAAACAAGTCATTAAAGAGATTTTCAGAATTAGCATTGCATGATTTTAACAAGAACGCCCGATTTAAATTCGGGGGAATTTACAAGTCAAAACCCCAAAAATGTCTCTCTACATAAGCCTGTTATCATCGCCATGTTAATTAGGTTGTGATGAAAGTTTTTAGCGACATCGAAACCCCAGATGAAGCGAAGTCTGATGGAGTCACGGCAGTTTTTTTCTAAGAATTTTCTTTCTGTATTTTCATTTCACATGTAAGGCCACACGAACTGAATATATCAGAATCACCACTAACGCTAGTAATTTTAATCAAAGACACATTGATGTAATGTCAGGACTTGTGCTTTCACGCTGAAACAGGGATGTTTAGTAGAAAACAGAGATTTAAAAAGTTGTTTAGAATCATGAAAAGAATACCTCCTCTGTGAAAAACATTTAAATCAGCGCAAATGGTGTTGATTTCGGAAACAGGTTGTCGACAGTTGTTTAAATAATTGTTTGAGACTTACCCATTTTTTGTCATATCACACTGCATTAATTCAAGTAGTTTACGAATGAAATTAAGCGTTTGAACAACAAAACCAAGAAATACTTATTCGCGTCATGAAGGAGGCAATATTGTCTGAGCGAGTTTAATTTTCTCGGTGATGAAAAGTGTGTGCCTCTTTTAACATTTCAATCTTGTTTTAGATTTGTCAAACGAACGTTTATGAACAACAATAGAAAATGCACATCTGGTTTTGTTTTTTAACTTCGTGAAGTCTAAAACAGTTGGCGACGCGAAAACAGGATTCGCTCGGATTAAGACTGAAATCTTTCCAACCCGGTTGTTTTCTCCGACGAAATTTCGCGTATATCTCTGGATTAGACCCGAGGCTAAATATACTCGGGGAGTCTTGCATCGCCTTCTCGACTTATCAAATCTTGTTTTTGTAGTGTTAACTTCGGTGATTGCAGTCAGTGATTTTTGGTGAGATAAAAGGTCGTGTCAGATCGAACAGCTCTCACTGACCAATTGTCACGGCTGCAAATGTATCATGGCTGAGATAAGATACCCGCGCCGCGGAGTTCGAGAAAACATTTCGTATTTTCTTCTCGATTTTTCCGATTTATTCTTCGGTCTCCTTCGAGTACCGCAGGAAAGCTATTCCATCCCTCATTATATGCATAAATTATTGCCCTCAGACCAAGAGGAATAGTGACTCACTCCTCAACATTAAGAATGAAACATTTCCCAAGAAAATATGCGAAAAATTATGAACTCTGAAGTTGTCTACGACTGGAGAGATTTTTGAGCTTCAGTCGCTAAGTAGATTTAGCGTATTTAGCGCCAAATGTATCTGTAATCATCGCGAAAATATTTTTAAATCTTAAAAATTTACGTACTGTGTTTGAAACCGATCTACTGTAAAAACAACCGTTTCCGATACACGTAGTTTAATGCTCCAAAAACCATTTTATCACGTTTAAATGATCCAGTCGTTTTTCGCAGGAAACAGGAAAAAATTAGCTGCGAAACTGCCGATTGAGCACTTCATTTTTTCTGCTTTTCTTAATCTTCGCATACTTGACGGTGTTCAACAACTAAGAAAAGTAGCAATCCTAGTTCGAGCACGAACGAGAAAGCTAATTTGTAGCTTACATGCATTTTCCAGAGCTCAAAAGGCTTTTGAGGTGTAACTGAGTCGTTCAATGACTTTTAACTTTAGAACTGTAAGAGCGACCTTTGGATCAGAGTGAAGTAGACATATATAACTGAAATGCCATATTTAAATTTACGTTGTCTAAAAAACAGTTAAAAGCTACTTCATCATCTGGTGAAGTCTTGGTTATACCTTTCAACTTGTGATCGATAAGTTATTGCGGATTTTCATAGTTTTGTTGCCAGTATAAATTCCCGTCTGTATTATATCATTGGGACAATCTTCAGCCCGTCAAGTGACCTTTTGAAAACATTTTTTACACGCTTTACAGTATATTTTCTATGTACAGCCAACATTGGAAATGTTTGGTATTTTAGCGACGTGCTTTAACACATACCAAAATCTTAAAATACATTTAATGATAGAAATATAGCAATTCCCAAAATAAGAATTACGACCTTCGAGTGAAGAAAATAACGGATGTACGATTTTCCTAGAACTGATGACATTTACACTTCTTTTTCCTGCGTTTGTTTATGTAATTTCTGAGAAGTGAAAAGTGTTTAACATGTAAGCACTATTTATAGAGGCCAAATATTGCTTATCTTACCCTCAGTCATTTGCCTGTAACAATAATCTGGAAGGAATTCAATCAAAGATTAGCTGATCTTTGCATAACATGTCGCAGAAGAGCTAGCTATTTTATCTTCGGCGTGATTCGACTCCGTCTTGATATGGCTCATTTGGTTTTGCGAGAAATCGTCCAGTTTCCTAACAAATCAAATGCATTATTGGCATTCAAAACCCCATGAGGAGAGTCTATATATGTGTTTTAAAAGAATGAGGCCGTCGAAGATGATAAAACAAACAAAGACAGTGACACTATCAAAACACTTTAAGAGGTCATGCCTGTTTCGGCCATTCAGAAAAAAACGTCGTCTCGGTAAAACTATCAAATTCAGTCGATCTTTTAAGCCTCTATTAACGATAAAAATAATTCAGATCTTTCTTAATATAGCACTTATGAACTCGAACTTTTCACAAATTACAGTTCAGTTAATCTCTTCTAACAAACTGCAGCCGGTCGAGGTTAGAAAGCGAAAGTCACAAATGATTACGGGTCCTTTGCCGCCATTTTGGAACGCGATTGTTTTCGATTTCATAGATCACTTTTCAGTTCTTCTTAAAGTTTAGTGGATATGTCCTTCGCTAAAAATGGTAAAAATTTGTTCATTTATCAGTTCAACTGTTTTTTTTCTAGATGATTATGCATAAGTTACATACGATACATGTATTTTGATTCTTGCTAACAAAAAACGCATTCCTAGCTAAATTTGATCCGAAATTTTATTGGAAAGAGGATTAAGTCGAACATTTAAGACGACATTTCATTCGAACAGGACAGCCAAATGCTTGCTTTATCCGGTGAATTTTAGAGCCAAGCATAAAAAATACGGTTAGAAATTATTTCTAATTGTGACAATTTTAGTTTTGGACAGTTAGAATAGCAAATGGGTTTTAAAAGCTAGTTAATCACTTCTCTTTATTGTGGTTTCGCTAGGAGTTGATTACTTCAAGGCCTTAGAGCCTCGCCAAATGTATTTTCCAGACGAGTATTTCACTTTTCGAACCGGAACGTAACTATTAAATGTGGTAGTAAATCTCGTAGTCTCCGTCGTTTCACATGTTGAATTGAATGGATCTTATTTTGTACGAAGCTTGTGTCAGACTGAGGCTGAAAAATTTTGAGTTTCAAAGTTTCCAGCTTAACCAGTTAGGGGGCGGCTCTTGAAACAGGTGAACTTCAGTGAAATGATCCTGGGGAGATGTGAAAAAAAAGATTCCATAAACAACTAAGTAAGAATAATAAAGGATGTTCCATATTCTGTATCGGACCATTTAACACGCTATAATTGAAAAAACGGCGCTTTTACTTTTGTGTTTTAATTAAGCTCTTGGCGACAGACATCTGCACTCCTTTGTATATGTTGTAAATTACGACAAAAAGAACATCTTCGTCTACTTGATGCAAATAATAGTCGAACGAATTTAAATGTTGGCAAACAGTGTTTGGTGACATAGCTTGCTGGAATCATCTTATAGTATGAGTCATGAGTTGTAAATACAGATGACAAACAATATTAATGTTGCGCTTAATTTACAACGAATATGTCTTGATTTGTAACTTTGTGGAGCTAAATTTTTTTGTTTATCCCAGAAGAGCTCGCATCCGTTCAAGACTTTGAAGCAAAAGAAGTCAAAATTGTTTCCTTCTTCCTGAAAAGATTGGCAATCGAGACTTTTTGTTCATCCCTCTTCCTACAATAAAATACCTACTTGTAGGTTTTGAAAGCTCTTGCACATAGTCTTCCGGCTTAAACCCAAAGCACAGCGCTTTTAATATCAAGGCACTTTGAACAGATGGTAAATGAAAGGCCATTAAAATCAGCTAACTGCAAACGTTTCATGGCGAGGAAACGAGATTGTACCAATTTTACTCGAATCTCTCCCAACAACGCAAATAACAAGTAACTCCGACGTATCCTCAGGGCTTGTTTTTGTAATAAAATCGGGTTTTTCCAAGGCTAAGTAGCTGATTCTAAAAGTCCATTAGAACAGGCTGCGTAATCGTTTGTAAAAATTAGCCACTTGAAAATCGTAGCATTTAAAGTGCAAATTATACGCTTTTTTTGGAATAAAACGAGATTTGTCATGCCAAACTTAGTTTTTTATTTTATTTAAAACTGAGAATGTTTTCATTAGAAGGATCCCTTTTGGAAAGAAATTTGCGTTTCCTTAGAAGAGTACAACAGACGTTATTATATACCTCTTTGGAAAGATTTAGAGCACTTACGTCACCTTGAAATCTCCTTTTTAATCAATTAGTTTAGATATATGTCGCATTTTAGACGGAGCTTGGTTCGTAACAGGCCAAAAAAATTTTCCATTGAAACCATTAATATCTGTGCGCAAATGCAATCATCTCAAAACCGCGTCAGATATTTGAACATTTTCTCTTAAATATAGTTTAAGTAACGAACCTGCTAGTTTCTTTGTACTTTAAGATTGAAAATAAACAAACCTTTTTTGGTACGATTTGTTTAACCAATTGTCTGGAATAGTGTACGGCTGGAATATTTCTCACAGATGGTTGACCAAGGCCATTTTAATGAGGACGAAAAAGAAGTAACGAGGTGTCAACTATATTTTCTTTAAGAGTGACATAGTAGACATATTAACGTAAAAAAGAATGTAATTAAAGAGGGTGAAACCGTTGAATCATTCGTTTTTTGATTAATATTAGAATTTAGTGCGTTGATAGAGGGTCTATCAAATTAAAAATCCGTTCCAACGCTAAGACTTCCTTCTTTGGGTAGATGTGTGCACGCGTTCAATTTTCACAACAGAGTTATAGGTTTTATTTGTGTTAAAACCTCTGACACTATTGATCATTACTTCATAAAGAGTTTTTTTTCCGCATTTCCTGTTTTTTCAATATCAATTGTTTACATATTCATGCTGGGATCATAGTAAAGTTTAAGAACAGAATATCGATCCGAGCCGTTATTAATAATCTCTTCGTCGCGTACAGATCAATTTGTCGAAGGCTGCATTTTTGCCTTTGCAGGGATAAAAAAATTCCCCTCTACAAAAAAAATAATCTCAGTCACCAAGGAACTCTTTGAAAGTTCTGTCAATCGGCGAGATGTAAGTTGGAAAGTTTGAATTTCTTCATTCATTTTTCCTATCGTGTCTTTCTAGCGTTTTTCTATGGGATATTGGGATTGAAAGTTATCATCATCTACCGACATCGTCAAACCTCTGCTGAAGCTTATTATTCTAATACCGAACTTTATTTCGGGCTTTTTAAGGTTGCTTTGAAGCATACTTTTCTCTTCCGTTGGTAGGATTTAACATAGTTACTTAATTTACGGGTGTGCCTGCTTACTGAATGTCTAAGATTAATCCACTTTTAGTCTCGAAAGAGAAGATTGTAAAGGAATCAACAAAACCACTGACATATTTGTTTCTCATAGGTAAGCAAATCGTGCAATATTGATTTAAAATCATTAATTGCCCATGGAAGGTTTCATAAATGCAGTTTTTTTTCTAAGGATATAGTTGTTTCATGCTTAAAATGTAGCCGGCCTGCTTCTGATCCAAGAACGCCATAAACCAAAGGGCGATGTCGCGCATTTCAAAATTCCTGTTTTCATACTTGAGTTTCTTTTTCAGTCTTAACCTTGTATTGCAATATCCCTTGGTGCTTACAATGCGACATGTCGGCGAAAGTATTTCTTTCGACGGCTGAAACATTGTTATGTCAGTGCCGTTAAATTTCACTGGTGTTAGGGGTAGAAGGCGCCTCGTATCTTTGAGGTTTTCAAATGAACAAATCAAGGGGAAAACCTTTATTCGTGAAATGTATGAAATGTTCTCGAACTATTGGTTCAAAGTCCGTGGGATAGTATCTTTGAATAAACACTTGTATGCCGCGATAAACAACATTACTTTCAAGTGCAAAGGGATCATAGCGTCAAATGGTATATCTCAAGCAGTTTCGCTCGATTATAGATTTCGAGTAGCCAAAGAAGGTCTTTAAAACATTGTTGAACAGTTTAGAGATGAATAATCATTTTAGAAAAATCACTTTTTTCTCAGGAATCCGCGTGGATGTCTCACTTGTTAATTCGATCGCATTGTCTAACTCTGGCCTATTTACCATAGAGGAAATCAAGACAGTTACATCGGTAGAGAATTCTAAGTTGGGAAATAAAAACCTCTTAGTCTGAGTTTCATGACAAACGTACATTGTACTTTACGTTCAATGGGCTAAGATCACTTAAATAAACTGAGATTCAGTCGGCCAGCCTAGTCGACGTATGATGTTATATTGGATAGTGAAAAACAAACCTCGGCTTTCAAAAACCTAACCTCGTCCAGTCATCTAAAACTGATTAATGCCATAATGCCCGTTTCACTGGTCTTAATTCGCTTAGTTTGCGTCTCTTGCCTTCTCTCTCTTTTCTAGTTTCTTTAAATCATTTTTAACGGTTATAAGCTTTCGCGTGGCTAGTAATTCCCGTGAGAATCTGTCATAAGTTTATCGAAAAAACGAATCGATCTTGCAAGGACTTGACGAGGCTCTACTAAATGTCGCAGCTCTATATCAACGAGTCGAAGGGAATCCTTAAAAATATTGTTGCCTAAGGAATCAAAAGAGAGGCTTCTTTTTTCCTACTCGTTAAGTTAAAGTTTTAATATGGTTAAGTTAACCTTCGACATCTAAATACTAATTTGTACTGAAATAAAATGTAAGATCTTGCGAGATGGTTGAGAAGAAACCGAAAACGCCCTCTTAGGAAATCAATTCAAGCATCTTTTTTAGGAAATGCCGAATTATGCCTGCGGCAGATTTTGAGCGAACCAGTCACTAAGGAACCGTGACGTAACTGTCTATAGGTACTCCCGCTCGCATAATATCCGTTTAGTTGATAACATGTCGGAAATCCAGCAGGTTTTTACGAAGCTGGTGTTACCAAATTCGGAATACCTCTGTTGTTCATATCAGATGACGAACTATCTCGGAATGGCATCAATATCCTTGTGGTAGATTCAAGAGTCAACGCAGATGTCAAAGAGTCTGTGTTGGCCCATCAGGGGTTTTAATTGTAATAGAAAATTCAAGACATTTGCGTGTGCTTTCCAAAAGTAACGCCTCTGCCAAGTGCGGCATATCATGTACAGATTAATATCGTTACTTCCTATGAACAACACCGAAAGGAGCTTTCCTTTTTGTGAGTGTGTGAGACTACCATTTGCTGTAATTAACTCATTGACTCAATGAACTGAAGTTCTTCCTCACCTAGTACAACTTTAACTTCTTTTCCTCCCTTTTCAGGATGAGCGAAATCCTTCCCCAAGTACCCTCCCCGGGTAGTGCTTTGTATCACCGTATTCCAAAATGTGCTCGCTGCCGGAATCATGGCGCCCTGTCGTGGCTTAAAGGACACAAACATTACTGCAGGTGGCGGGACTGTACGTGCTCCAAATGTCTCCTCATCGCTGAGCGCCAACGTATAACTGCTGCCAGAGTGGCTCTTCTACGGCAACAGAGAAAGAACTCGGAGATGTCTCAAAAACTGGGACAGAAAGATAGCGACAAAGATCAAGTGGCAAAGAGTTTTGGCGACGATGTTTATCAAAGACCATCAATGGTTCTTAACTCGATACCCGCACTTCATGGAAGAAAGAACAGTGACACAGATTATGAAGGTAAGGTGACGCTCTAGAGTAGGGGTCAGCGGTTATTCGTATGTAACAAGTACATTCGATATACTTTGCAGAGTTTGGAAAGATCTTTGGGTCAACAAAGAACATTTTTTTTTTCATATCCTTAATGATGCAATTTTGTTCGCAACGAGCCAAACAAAAAATGCCTTTCGTAAACCGGTGTCTAGAAATGTTTAATTTTTTTTGTGTGTGTTTAGTTGATACTAATGACTAAAACGCTCTCCTATTTTTTGATATTTCACAGACGAGGGCATCGATCAACAGCTTTCCCCAACAGAATCAGAAGAAAACTTGGATATCCAACCTGACGAACCTTCCGAACCTGAATCAACACTTATCGACGGAGTCCGAATAAAAACCGAACCCGAGACAACGACTCCGGAGGATGAAGAAGAAGGTGGCCTAAGAGTAACAACTTGCGAAAACGGCACTGAACTTCCATCACCAAAGAGAAAAATTAATGGAGAGGTGCAACACGATGAAATCGATACTTTACGACTCCACTCCAAGATACCTCGAACATCTGAAAGCCCCAACGTGGGAAGAAAAATTCATCCTGATCCACTCGGCTTGCTGATCCGAGCCTTTCCAAGCCAGTGCCGAAGTGTCCTTGAGTTGGTCCTTCAAGGCTGCGGTGGAAACGTTGTTCAAGCCATTGAGTGCTTGCTTCAGAATCAGGAAAAGAAACAGCTCCCATTGCCCATGCCTGTGCCTGTGATTGGAAGCGTTGGGGGTCCTCCTGCAACAATTCATCCCGCCCTTCACTTTCAAGCCCCCCCACTATTCCGTAAGCCGGAGCCTTTCTCGCATACTTTCCACAGACCTCCGATGAGTCCTAGCTGTCCATTCCCACCGCCACCACCCTTACTGAAGCCAAAGGCACAGGCCAGCGGTTACCCATTCTCGATGGATGCCGTCCTGGGTTCGCCACCGAACAACATGAACGCTAGCTCGAGCTCTCCAAAGACAGAAGGGAAATCAGTGGCTGTACACTTTTGCACAAAGTGCGGACGAAAGGCGAGTTGTGAAGACAATTTTTGTGCCTTCTGTGGGCAAAAGCTTCACAAAATAGCATAGTCGCAAACCAATTTCATAGCCTAGATGCGTCAACATCTTTTACGGTGCAAGTTAAGAATTAGTGATTGATAATATTAAAAAGCTTAAAGCTTCAAAATTGAGTGTTCAAATACCCGGCGCATGTTTGTAGGAAAGTTCTTCGACGAGACTCAAAAGAACCTAGGAGACTTTTAGCTTTCAGAGATGTAAAAAAATGTAAAAAATTGTGTCAGTGGAAATGAGATAATGCCACTGGAACTTTTTAGGGTTTAACCACAGGGAAGATTTTTATAATATAACTGCGCAATATTTAACGAAGAGGACAGATGTTTTTCCGGCAATCACAATTAAATGAAAAGAAAACTTCCTCTGATGATAAAGCTATTTACAATACAAGTAGTCATTTTACCAGTAAAATATTCGGTAGTTTTCTTTTTTTATGTGTTCATCGTTCAAGACGATGTAAAGTTGCATGTGTAAATAAGGATTACATTATGATTGAGGTTACAAAAAAATGGTTTATCTATACGAAAAGAGTCTCGATACTTTATTGAAGGCCTTGTACACAATAAAACGATGAAAAATAGTGATGATCTTCTAATCTGAATTCAAACTGACGTGGGTTAGCACGAAATACAACCCAAGAAAGCTAAGAAACTTATCCGGCAACAGTTTGCTTGTTTTGACTGTTTGCTGCTCGGAAATAATTTTCTTTGGTATCAAAAATTATCTTTCATCGTTAGTATTACTTTAGTGACTATCATTATCATCAGAAACGTTATAATTACTTTGTTTTCAAAAGCTTATATTTCTAATCCCGTTTCATCAAGGACCATAAGATTACTATGAGTTTTTTCTTTTCTTAACGCTCGGTCGCTTGATCTGAAAGTTGCAAAAACTTAACATGATTTTTGTTTTCAACATTTCACGTTGTGATACTTTTCTATCCTTGTCTGACTTTTCATGACATGTTTTCATCTAAGATCATCTTAGATGAAAACATGTCATGAAAAAAAACAGTGTGTCTTTATTGACAAAAAAAGAAATCTCAAAAGTAAAGGCCTAAGAGTTCAAATATCTAGACTTGACATTTTGTCAGCCTAAATATAAGGGTTTTATTCTATCAGCTATATCATTCAGAAGATATGTAAAATTCGCGTCCCATAATAAAATAAGCAGCTCAGAAAAAGTGAATTAAGAGTTTATTTACTTTTATATCTACTATCACAACTCTGAATCAATAGTCTCTTTAAAGGGGTCAAAAACATTGTCAATAACTTCATGGGCGTGTGTTGGGTAATAAATAGTATATAGCCAAGGAAAAGATTGAGTAGAGTAAGGTTTTTAATGGCAAATATCTTATACGATAAATAAAAGTAGAGAATCATACTAAGAGACGCATACGTTCTCTGTGAATTTTTGTCAAAATGCATGAGCAGTTTTTCCTTTTTTTTTTAAACAAGTAGCATTTCTCCTCACTTTAAGTTAGTCAGTGTATTAATATACAAGTACCTGTACGTGATTGAAAATATATCATACAAGATACATATAATAGCCACTCCTTCAAATCCAAATTAATTGCATTAGGAAAATTTGTGAATTACATTTTTACAAGATGGTGAAATAAAGAATACTAAATGCAAGTTTGAAATGGCACTGCAGCGATTTCATTTGTATATCCATTATTTTATTTTCCTAAAGGAACAGTCATTCTTTAACGCGCGAGGGAGGGAGGGGGAGGGGAGGGGAGGGAGGGGGGAGGGGGGGGGGGGGAGGGGAGGAAGGGGAGGGGAAGGTGAATTTTGAGGGTATCATATGGCTCTCAGGGGGAACGAAGGGGGAATCACTCGTCGCCAAAAGGCAACAGATATACAGGGGGGATTATAGGAAATTCACTGCCAATTAGTTGATATTGAAGGGGGGATCAAAATCAGTATCTGGGCAACTGCCCACCTACCCCTTCCCTAACCCAACATTAACCTCAACTTGTTGTCAATTGACTGTTGTTGAGTTAGGAGAAGGGTAGGTGGGCAGTTGCCCAGATACTGATATTGATCCGAAGGGGGGGGGGGTCTAAGAATATTACACAGCCCCGGAGGGGAAAAAGTAATTTTTATTGTAACACAAATAAAATCTTCCGACCTTCTCCCCCCCCCCTCCTCTCCCTCTCCCTCTCTAACGTTAATCATATAATGACCGTTACCTAACTGTCTAACAATTGTTTTTTATTGACAGGGTAATTCCCCAATCCCCTCGAAATGGAATTGAGACGGTAAATGACTGGCGCTCGCTCGCTTGGTTAACTCAGAAGAAAAATCGTAAAGACCACACACAGTTGTCATACTTTGTTAAAAATCAACTTAGGTGGTTAAAGCAGGCAGATATACAACTCATATAGAATTTTAATAGGATTTGTAAAAGTATACTTTTCGCGAGGCTCTTTCGAGAACCCGCTTCATTTAGCATTTCCTTTTTCATACTGTTGGATCACAGAATTAACAAAGATCATCGATTCAGCCTTTCTGATAACAACCGCTCTTGTACTGCATGATGGTTATTATCAAAAGCTGGCAAATCAGAGTCCCGCATGTTTCCATAATGCCTAGCAAACGAGGGGAGGAGGGGGGGGGGAGAATGAACGAAGAATATTTGTTACGGTCTTAGACTTTTTCGAGGAGTAGCATTAATGCATGACTTCACACTGCAATCAAATGAATCACAGCGTTAATCTCTGTAAGTTGGGTAGAAATTGGTCAAAGGAAAAAATGTTTTTACAAAATCCGAGTTTTAAAGTTCACGAACTTGAAAAAAAGTAAATGATTTTTATTATAACAGGTGTAGCGGTCACGCACTATTTTTGGAGGAGTTTCAGTAAATAAATCCATCAACAGAATTCTCTTGGTATAGGTATGCAATATCGACACAGGAGTATCTTAAAGTCCTACGCATAGTCTTGATTTTTGGTAACCTATGGTTCCCGTGTACATACAATCCGACTAATCTTTGAAACGAGTCCTTTCACGAGCTTGCATGGAATTTCATGGAGTCGTAAGTTTATGTTCCACTGTGCTCAGTGACGTGCTTAGGAAGTGACCGGCGGAGGCAACACAGTACTGATTGCATATCAAAGTATATATAGAGTCCAGGGAAGTTTTAGCACCCTGTCGAATTTTCGCTTATTGGAGATCATCTAAATACCATATCCGCTGGTTAAATTAAACATACCCGCGAAGCATTTAACAAACCCTTAACGCTTCTTAAACATTCATTGCTTTTCCCCATAGAAGTCTTTAATATTAATCACCCCACATATTTTCAATATCTGAGATACTCCATCCTAAGTATTTTTGTCAATTTTATTTTTAGTCTGATAATGAACTATGGTCCTGTTCTCCCAAAAGAAACAAGGAATTATCAAATCTATCGAGCGATATTTTATTATTCATTTAATAGAGTTTCGTCAAGATTCTTTCGTTGAAGAATTCCCAAAAGATACTTGAACACGAAAACAAAAACATAGAAAAAATATGTTTACCCTGAAAGCCTATCGGCATGGATATCATCATATCGAGCCTCAGTCAGATGGCGTCTGTAAATTGGCCATAATATCTCTTTGTCCCCTCCTTTATGTGACACTTCGCACGCGTGCGCTGATCATCTGCAGTTTTAACCGCACCGAAAAAGAAGCCATATTTTTATGTTTTTTCGTCATTTCGTCGTGTTTTACTGTAACTTCTAGAGCGTGAACCGTGTATCACATTTACCGCGAAGCGTAAAATGAAACCGTAAATGATGATTTTGAGCGCGATCAACAGCGTGAAGCGTGAAAATTATAACAAATGGATCGACTAGCGTGAAAAATTTTGGACACTTGGCATGTGATGCGTTTGAAAGAATGTGAAAGAGCCAATCAGAGGTCTTATGGAGCACCACACTTTTGATGATGCATAACGGTGATAACTGACGTGAAAAAGCAATTTGAAACAGTTTCTTCATGCATAATATATATACACACCGATCTGGTCACACGCGCTTGTGATTCTTCTGATAAACTGTACTAAGCTACATGCCTCCTGATGAAAACAGATCTGAGGTCGAAAGAAATATCCTGAAACGAAACTTAAAACCATCTAACGTAACGTTTGATTGTCTGATGTTTACAGACTTGACTTGATGTCATTTCACTGAACTAGCATCGAAGTGGAGTCGATTAAGAATATTTGGAGTAGTCCTACCCGAGCAAAGCGTTAAACAGCCTGGCGTCGAATTGTATTTGCTTGGGAAGAAAACGATTGCGTTTCACTGTGATGGTTTCGCGCTACAGCAAGAAAGGAGAGGGACAAATAGCATGGTGCCTCTGTACCCTACCCATCGTTATATTTCCATTTATTGTTATATTTTGGTTGCATCGTAGTTTCTCAGCCGAAGATTTTCTTCAGCAATCCAGATTTCAAAGCATCACACAGGCACCAACTATAAGAAAAGATTTGAGACTTGCCAAAGAGCAAAATGAGTTTTTCGAAACGTTACTAAATATGACAAGGTCTCCGACTCAGCGATCTACGGTACCTCCTGTCGTTCTCGCGATTCACTCGGGAAAGCGAGTTACGCCGGCCGACGCCGACCCGATCGAGTTGCAACGTGAAGAAGAGTCTTCAGATAACGATGGAAAGGTCGTGATTGTAACACCTGGCCCGGACACAGTATTAGCAAGGAAAATAGTCTTCACCCCTAGAGAGGAAGAAATCACAGGTCATGAACTTCTGGCGGCATTTTTTGAGCAAGTTGTTCCAGATAACATGGCAGGGAAACTAAACGTTCATACATGGCAAGGTATTTGCGGCCCGTACGTTGAACAGCTTCGCCATTCTCCATTATTTCCTCGCTTTCCTTTCGTTAGAAAATTTCTGGATCAATTTAAATCGCATCAGGAGGGCAGCGATTTTGGAGAGAGGATCTTCGGGTTCATTCACCCGGAAAAGCAAGGCTTTCACGAGTTCGCGATCACTTCCGACGATACATCGGAACTGTGGCTTAGCACCGACAGCAATCCGAAAAAGTCCCGACTTATCGCCGCAGTCTATTCGGCAAATGGCGCAGCGTGGACAACACCGTATAATTATAAAAAGTTTCCTGTCCAAGTTTCAAGGAAGATTGCTCTGAAGTCTTCCAGAAAATATTACATTGAAGCGCTCCATAAACAATCAAAGGGTCGTAGCCATGTTCAGATATTCTGGAAAGAACCAGATGCAAAAACATTTAAAATTATTCAAGGCAAGTACTTATCTCTGTATGTGGACGATCGAGATATGCACGAAGAAGGGATTGTCGAAGAAATTGATTTTCACAGCTATGCGCCACCGGGAATTCCTAGCCATTCCAAAAGAAAATTAGATCCCAGCGTTGAGAAATTCCTGTATAGATGCTAAAATCATCCTTGGAATAGAATAATGCATGGTTTGCAACGTAAATGAACGTAACCCTCATCCATCAGAACATTCGAGGCACAGTACCGCCTTGATATAAGAATTTAGATGATCTGCTAGACCATAAGTAAATTTAGAGAGTTTAGTTGTTTGATCTGCAAGGGGGCAACTGTACAGATAACGGTATCATTGATAATTCTGTCTTTTTTTTTTTTTACATGGAGCGGATATATAGCACCCATTTTCAATGGGTCTGTGTAATAATAGACAAAAGATATCGTTAAAATAGAGTGAGAATATTGATGACATACTTACCTCTGGCTCTAGTGTCACATTTTTTGGGTTGGCTTTATCATGTTTCCACGTACTACTTCATCTTTCACTAAAACGGTGCACAGCAACATGAATAAAGTTTGATGATACTTCTGATAAAATGATGCGAGCTTGCTCGTCCTGGAAGTGTCAAGTGGCTCTTAAATAAAGTGAGTAAATGAGATAAATCACGATTTTCTTTTATTTGCCATGGCAACTTTGAAATATCAATAAAAATGAAAATCTCGTCTATCGGCAGTCCTACGCCTGTGGACCATGTATCGCGCTCTCCGATAAGCTTAAAATCAGAGCAAGAGCAAAGCACGGCATTACGCTCCTTTAATAATGACAATGCCTACAGAAGGAATTAGAAGAACACAAAAGGTTACTAAATGATTGTAACTACCTGTTTTTTACTGAAAGCTCGAGGGGGTGAAAACGATGAAGGCCAACCGACATCCAGAGAGAGTACATTCTGTCATATGCTGCTAAAATTTCATGAGAAGAGCAAATGTGCAGTGCTAAACTTCCTACGACGGAAACAATCATATCAAAAATACGTTCAAGCGTTCAAGCTGTAAGACTGCGTGAGAGGATGAATCCTCTCTTGTTCAAGCTCATATCTGAAAAAAAAAACCTATTAAAAACTCGTCGAGGAGAATGTCAATGACATGATAATAACGTAATTTTTCGTCGATGAATACAATAGGGTAGGATTTATAGACTTACCAGCCGGCAACTTAGCTTGACCATGGATAAAGATTTTCAATGATGTCCCCTTGCAAACTTGAACGCAACGCGCCTACAAGTTTCCAAAAGAGATGTTCAGACGGCAAATCCTCATTTAATAATAATTAATTCAACATTCATAAGATTATGATGAAATTAGTTTTGGTCAGGTAAATAGGCCGGACATCCACATTCAAAATTTGCCGAGTCGTTTACAAAGCTCAGGATTTGTCTGACTCTGTACAATCAGACAAATTGTCAGACTCTGTAGAGTCAGAAAAGTTGCTGAATTGATAAATTTTGCCATAGTCAATGCAGCAGATTACATCGATACATTTCCTAGCCTTTATACAGACAAGTTTAAATCAGCCTCCAAGAACGATTTAAACAGCCAAGCGGTTTCTTCGATGCGGCGGCAATATTTCTAGTTGCCAGTTTTAGACCGTCACTCAGAAAGAAGGCTTGGCTTTCGACGAAAACAAATGCGAAGACTAAATTAAATGAACGGTGCTTTCCGTAGCGTTTGGAATGGCGTTTGTATCGTTTTCATTCACCTAAAGAAGGCCGTTGGCGTTTCAACAAGTGTGAAGCAACACGACGGCAAGCGTCGGGCATGCGCAAATGGATAGATTTTGGCCGGCCGCGCGCCAATTTCCCGCGCTAAACATTGAAGGAAAACATCAGAAACAACCCCTGTCTCCCCTGTCACGGAAATTGCACAAAGAAAGATTGTAACGTTCACAGAAATCTGTAAAAGGAAACAGAAGTAAGTAAAATAAACTCGAATATAAAGCTTAGTTATTTACGGGTATCTTGTTGATCTACCATTTTTGTTTGAGCTTTATCAAATAAATTATGTTATAAAAAACTGTGACTTTAAATTTCTAGCTTCTCTGTATGCTCTTCAGTAAGTCTTGTAAGGAAACTCGGAATTAAAAGCCACTTACATACCAATGCCGGTGCTACTTATATGCCAATGTGCACTCTGTAGTTCAATTTTTTAAATAACTTGTGACTGATCATTTCATGTTTTAAGCCATTTGATTCTCAGTAGCAGAAATGATCAAACCTTGATTTCAACTGAACTTTAGTGGCCAATTTGCATACGAACAAATGGGCTAGGAACACCTGCTTGAGACACGGAAGAAAGTCCTTGGCTGAGAAGAGCTGGAAACAAATGGTAAGTGAGGACTGACGGGCTCTGGGAACGAATGTACTCAACTTAGGCTGCACGTCTCGGTAGTTTCTATCCGTTTTTAGGACAGATTCAATGGTTTAGACTTTCCAAAGACCTCGTTAAGACAAATGAAACATTTTGGTAACAGCTGTGTTCTAAATTTCGAATGAAAAAAGTAATATTGACGAAAAGTTTGAATTAATTTTCCCGCGCGCAATAGACTCGGCAATTGACGCATAAGCAAACGCGGGTATCCGCTGAGTGGACGACCATGCTTTGTAACAGTGAATCGGCGAAATAAGCCCTACAATTGGTCTTTTTCAGATTGACAAAAGTTTTCCTCTATAGCAGTGACATGCTTGGTTAAAAAAGAGGAAATACAGCTTTATGTGATCGTGCATAGATCACAAGTTAAAGTTATGTTGGGATTCAAGCCACAGAAACAAATCGTTTACAATCGTCTTTTACCGTACAAGGATAAGCTTGACGAAGAGTCTAATAAGTTCCTATCAGAAATTAAATACAGTCTTGGACGAGCTGTGGTTTTTAAAGAGACCAGCCCCGGAATTCTATACTGGAGCAATAGACTGACAAAGTAAGTTGCTGGTTTTAACTTAAAATAAGTCAAATTTGGGCCGTCAATTTAAAGTGTAAACGTGTGGAATTGATGATCGCCGATGTTGTAAGCTATTGCACCCGGTGACTAATGCTTAGATTAAGTCTGACTTCCGTCGGAGAAGACTCCTCGGTTTTTTTTTTTTTTTTGAGATATTAGGATTTCATGTATATAATTTGATTTTTAATTGGGAAATGAACTTGAATTTTAATTTTCAATCATACCAAACAGTTTCCTTGGAAGTTTGTAGACAACAGACTTCTTCCCCAACATACATTCATGGTAAATCACTTGAAATGATGTGCTCGGTACAAGGTGAAGATCACCTGTATAATTGTATTAAAAGAGGTCATTTAAATTATGTTCCTTTGATTGGAACAGCTTAATAAATTTGATACACCATATAGGATATAGGCCCAGATTTTAAAGGTGCACAACGCAAGTTGTGTTCATTTTAAGAACTGACTTGTTTTGACCACGATCAATTTGTAAACAAACACAATTTTTAATGCTTTCTACAGTGCAGTGTGCATTGTACATTTATGTGATCATGTAGTGAGCAGTTGACCATCATCACCAAAAACTTGCGTCAATGGGGAATTAGATGTACTAAGAACACATGTCAGACACAGAAAATGCCCTGAGTCATAAATGATTGGTCAGCATTTTTTTAGCAGGGTCATTCACAGTTTTCTGTCACTTAGCAAACATATAATTCTGAAAGTGGGCATCATTACAAAACTAACTTCACAAAAATTGAATTGAAAATTGCAGAATGCATGCTGAAAATTCACTGAGAATTTAACTGACTTTTCATTTTAAAACTCTTGGTTAAGAAAAGTTGTTAACATGTCTAAGTATGTCCTATTGGCTCAATGGATAGCACTTCTCCTCTTAACCCTTTGCACCCTAAAATCAGTATGGATATTCTCCCTACTGCTCTTCATATATTTTCGAAGGTGTTGGCAAGGAGAATTTGTTCACCAATCAAATGCTTCTTTCTTTGGTGATCATTTCCCTCATTCTCATGACCTTAACATGTCTTTCAGGGGTGGTATTACAGGGAGAAGTTTGATGCTAGTCACTCTTAAGGTTTAAAATGTTAAGCAAGAGGTTAAGGCATCAAGTAGGAAAATTATATATATTTTTTTTCTCTTGTTTTCCCTTGTTTATTCACTCTCTTCTTGAGAAGCATGTGTTTTTCTCTTTTGGCCCAGATTGTCACCAGTTATTGGGCAGTAATCAGCCTTTAAGAAGCAAATTACCAAAGCTCAGCATTTATCTTTATTTTTCTTTTGCTTGGAAAAAAAGAGGAGGCTTTTACTCTTCCAGCCAACAGTTCATTCATATTGTGTCTTTCGGCATCAAATATTTAAACATAGGGTCAATGAGGTTGCAAGGTTGCAGCACAGAAGGCTTATTGATACATACATGGGAGATGTCTTTTGGCCATTGAGCGAGTGTTTTTTATGTTAAGTTAAGCATGCAGTCCCAATTTTAGCCTACTTTTCATCCATCAATACATACATACGTAACTGTATTTCTGTCTGAAATTCAGAGTAGCTTGGTGGTGCTAATTTCTCCAAAAAAACAAAAAAAAATCAATACAATTTTCTGATCTCAATTTTCAGCTGTTATTTAAATACAGATTATTTCGCTGCAGTCTGTTGCAATTTTTGACCAATTCTCAACTATCAGTGAATCATGCAAAAGTCTAATGTGCTAGTCAGCAACCAAAACTTTAACAGGAATGGAAGCAAGTGATGCAACAATTGAGTGATGGATGGAAGGAGTGAACTTTGGGTCACAGCAACAACTCTGAAATGGCTTAAAGCCATTTTCCAAGTTGAATAATTAAACCATGAAACAAAATTTAACCCTTTAACCCTTGCAAATGACTAACACTTATTTCTCCCAATAGTATAACCCCTGCATCACACAGTAAGGTCATGAGAATCACCAACTAAATATTCTCTTGATTGATAAACAAATTCTCCTTGTTAGCACCTAAGGAAATGTATAGTAAACAGTATGGAGAATATGCATACTGATATTAGGGTGTAAAGGGTTAAGCTAAAGCTTGTACAGTAAACTCAGTATACGTGATTTTTTACATGATAAGCTCAGTTATGCACGTATTCTGATTGGTTGTCACTTATGATCTATTGGAGGACAGATGTATAGATGACATCATCATTAAAACTTTATTAAATTCTTTATTATATAAAAAAATAGATTCCAAGTTGCTGTACGTCTGTTGAGTAATAGATCACAGAGGAAGTCAAAATGTGGTAAGAGCATCAGTGACACAATCAGCTCTTACCACATTTTGACATCCTCTGTGATCTATTACTGAACAGATGCTCAGTAACTTGGAATCTATATGTTAAACAGTGTATTCCAGACAGTCTGTTAACATGCATGATACAATGGTTGCAATCTTTAAAGTACTGTCTATGATTTGTTTGTTTTTATTTTTTTTCCAGTTACATAAAGCTATATGGAAGGAAGTTTTCAAAAGAAGATCATCTCCATTTTATACACATCTTTTTTGAGTTGGTAACAGCTCCTAATCTTGATCCACAATATGTGATTGCATTTGGTCATGTGTTGATCCTTCTGCTCAAGTAAGTAGGATAATATCCTACTTATATTATTTCTGGTTAGGTCATTTTCTACCGAGTACTGAAGAAAATTATGGGCTGTCAGCTACTCTACACACAACCCTGGATACATGCACCTACTAATTGATCCAACTGTTCACTTTCCATTTCATTTGTCAAAGATACAGTTACTGTGCTGCTCCTGTGTACTGCAGTGTATCTAACATACTTACTATACATGCAATTCCCATGTATTATAGGCATGCAACTTTATCACTCGTGGTCATACCACGCATAAGTGTACAGTATACAGTATTATTAGACCTCAGCAGTCTCTCAACTGTTGTTATTTCAATCTCCTTCTGGAGGACAATGTGCAAAGTACCCTTTTATTCTCTTTTTATGGCAACTAAGGTACTAATATATTACTAAATTCATTACCAATGTACCAATAGTCTACAGAATTTCTTTGAAAGAAATTTCAGGTAGAGCCTTTGGTCTAGCAATGGAAGTCTCCTTTCTCTATAAGCAGCTGCCAATGATGCAGTACTGAGTGATCTCACCAATGTGTATATGTTTGTTGAAGACAATACAACTTTTTCTTTACATTACATTTTTTGTTCTAGGAAGAGGGGATTAATATCCAGAGATGACCTTGTTTTGCCATGGAGACCTCTTCGTGATCTTGTGGATTTCACATTTTATTCCAAATTTGAAGTGCATGGACTGAAGAAACATCCTTTGTAAGTTGGTTAATTTTTTTTTTTTATATATCATGCCGAATTAAATGAAATTACACTTCAACAAAGTGAACCATTAAAACCTCAATGGGCCTTTCCAGTCAACTCTTTTTGTCATAAGTACAAGTTCATATCCATGTGTCACAGCTGACATCTTAGAATTCTCAAGCAGTATGGAGCACTTCTTTTGGCATTTCTTTTTTTTTTTGTATTCCTCCAACCACCCCATCCCACCCTTTTTTCCTTCTACTGATCTACAAATGCAGTAAGTGACATGTTGACCAGTGCCTTGTGTAGGGTGCTCATGGCTGATTTGCAAGAATTTTTTTGAAGTATTTCCCACTGACTCTTTCAAGCAAGATAACAGACCGGGCTGGACCCAGCACCTCCCGTTCCAAACTTCCTTTTCACAATTGTGTTCCCTCCATGCGACATGTAGTAAGACCATAACAGAAAAGGAACACACACATACATGTACACACATATCCAGTCGAGCTGAAAAATCCTCCATATTGTGCAGTGTTACAGGTCATTTCTCCAATTTTTCAGCCTTTTGTCCATTGTAAGACTCATGATATTCTGCCTCAAATCCCCCATCAACTGTTGTTTTGTGTGGGTACCCAAAGCTGATTGGCAAGAATTTGCTCAAAGTACATGTATACCCCTACCAATGTATCTTGTACAGTGTACATCTGATTGCTGGCATGTGATTGAAACAGATAAAGTTTAATTGGACATTTTAGGCATGTACATGAACATTGTTCATCTGAAGGAACCTCCAACATTTGCACAGTGTTATAATTAAATTGTGTAGAACACAATTTTCCCCTTTTTTGCATAAAATTTTTGTCCAATCAGGTTATTCTAGTTTATGATGTTTCGGAAAAATTACGAACACTGCATGAGATGAATTGTGAAATGAGGAACACAGTTCGTTTCTTACTTTAGTTACTCAGTGATCTGTAGAACTTGTGTGTGTCACGTTATGAACCTAGCAGTGGCTTAGCTTACCTTAGTGTTATCTGAAGCACAGTGATAGAGCATCATAGCACAGGAACAGAAGGTCTGAGGTTTGATTCTGGGCAGGGGACTCAAAAATTTTCTTTTACACACACACTCAAGAAAAGTTGAATAACATCTTTCTGTGAGCCATAGATTCCTTTGTATCCAGGACCAAAAAGTGATGGTTTTGTTATTTGTGCATAACCCTGTTAAACTTCCTTTTTGTCTTATAGGAAGCTTGAAGAGACAGTGAAACATATTGTGTATATGTCCAGAGTGTAAGTACTAAGAGCCAGCCATGCACTGATTTTTAACAACTGGGTGGTTTCTTAATCCTATCCTTTCTTTTCATGAACTTTACATCTGATTCAAGATACTGAAAGGAGAAAACAGAAACCAGTCACTGCAAGGGGTTATGAAAATTCTTAATAGATAGTTAACATGAGGCTCTGATGTAACCCCTGCCCCAAGAAAAGAACTACATTTTTTACTGTAATTCCCAAAAGTGGTGATAGACGAGAGACCCCACATGTCACAACTTCACATTTATTTGATCTCACTCACAAAATAGGAAATCCCAGCCATGACTTAGTTTACACAATTTTCCAGCTTTGTAAACCTTTGATTTCAAATAGGAAATTTCAGTAACAGACTTGGAACTACATGAATATTATTGAGTCTGCATTTGTCAGGTGGCTGGGGGGAGGGGGGAAGGGGGGGGGACATGGGCCAATGTCCCCTTTTCCAGACAATAATTCAACTTTGCCTTTTCTTTGTTACTTTCAGGTACTTTTCAGAAGACTCCACACAGGAAATGTTGGATGAGTGGCGTCCTTTACTCTGTCCTTTTGATGTCAAGTTTGCCAAAGCAATGTTCTACTTTTCCTTATTCTTACCTACCACCCTCCCTCCAGAAAAATATGACAAGGGTTACAAGTATGTTCTGTTGTATACTGTCATCATTTAATACTCTGTGAGATTAAAAATACTCTGTGCTCTTGGTGACATGCTGCGAAGTTGGAATCTGCATGATTTTAGTTAAAATAGTTTTGTATATGCCTTTTGTGTATATTGGTTTATTTAGCTTATTTATTCATTTGTGGATATCACTCTTGTACTTGTTATTTATGTAGGAATCAGGTTTTTAGAACCTTAAGTCTTCAGTAGTAACACGTCTCCACTCTACAATGTGTTCCACTTTTAATTTATCTGTGGTAAATGTACCCTGTGCACATTATTTACTGAAATATATCAATATACAATGTACCTATGGTAGTGAAATAATGAACTGATTTTTTTTTCTTCTTTTCCTTTTTTTCTTTTTTTGTTTTCCTTGTTTTGTATTGTTTTGCTGGTTTTTTGGTTGCTAGCTTTCCCACTGTTACAAGTAATTCATCTTTACGTGTACATCTACCTAGGAAAGATATTGTTTAAGATGAGCAAAGAAGGAATTTTATATTAACTTAAAGATAAATAATGAGTTAAGATTACAGAGATAATTAGATGGAGAACATGCAAGGCTGCACACTGCACATGTATCTTGTGCAAATACCCCCATATGCTGCAGAGCATTAGTATGGTAACTAATAGCCTGACTAGCCAAAGGGTAGATTAACTGCTGTAATGAGTTTTGTAAAGCTTGAAACATTACCTTTTATTTACAATTTCTAGATATAAGTAATGTTTGGAATTTTTTTCTAGGTTATGGTTTGAGGAGCTTTTGGGAATTTGGCAAGCTTGTACAGGTGGCTCAAGATGGGAAGAGGTACAGTGTACAGTACACCATGTAAAATGTTCCTTAGCACCAGGGCTTGTAAAAAATTTGAAAGTAGAAGTACATAAGATGGCCAAGTTATAGGTACTATTCAGTTTAAGTGCCCCAGATGCTCTACAATGTTCACATGAACCTTCAAACAAAAATTAATTCTGAATACAGAATCAGTTCACATGCTTAAACCAGTCAGTAGTAAATTAGGCATTCAATTCCACTCAATTACTGGAAAGTGGCTGCTGTAAGAATTTCTTTGGTGGTTTTTCAGTGCTGAATTTTCATCAGCACTTATTAATTATGAAAGTGGTTGGACTTGCCGTGCCAGTGACTTTTGCAGGCGGCAGGCTCTGATAGACAGTTGTGCCAACACCAGGCATAGTCTGATGAATATTTGTGAGTACAAATGTACCCTTTCATTTCATTTTTTTCTCAGGACTGCTTGAAGTTGTTTGCCAGGCTTGCAAAAGACAATGTGGGATTTATAGATTGGAGTCCATACCTTGCCACTGTAAGTAAAATAGACCTGTTTTTCTTTGAACTATTGGAAACTTCAACATCACCCCCTCCCTGGCAACCTGGGTTAGTTCGCCGTGTTCCAGGCCTGGGGTTGGGAATTTGAACTTTGCTTGGGTGGGGTGGAGAATTCAAACTGGACCTGTCAAGTCTTTCCAGCAGAATAAGTGTGTTTTATTTTCAAAAATATGGGTGTGGAAAGGTCTACTAGGATATTAAGATCACTACTGCCTTGTACAAAAACAAATTGGCGATCAAATGCTGCACTTTGGTGAGGCGTTTGAATATTGTTTTGGTCCTGGTAGGTGGGAATTTGAATGAACCAATCTTTAAAAGCTCAAATGTCCAGGGGGTTGCCTGGGAGGGGTGGATGTGGAAGCTTTACATTGATCAATGCATTAATCCTTGAATTAGAGTTTGAGGTTCTTGATTCAAATGTAGGACAGGACATGGGATGCTTACTCATGTACTCATGAGTTGCGTCTATGCAAAATAGGGGATTGAGGGGGTGAGGGGGGTTTTACTATGCCCTTTTTCAAATGTAGAACGAATGTACTAAGTTAAGACAGGGGGTTTTAATTTGTAAGCACCTGCATGCAATTCAGGGGAGCTAAGGGGAGGGGGTTTTACAGTAAAAACCTGAGGTTTCTTCAATTCCTTTGCTCTAAAGTCTGTTTGGGATAATTATATCTATTCTCTTCAGAGCACTTAATCACGACATTGAAGAAAAAAAATTGCACTGACTTTTCCTCTAAAGATTTCAGATCTGAAATAAAATTTTGCACTAATCCTGGGTTATCTCAACCCAGCTTTGAACAACCCAGCCTTGTGCTGTAGGCTTTTTCTTTGATGTATATACCCTTTGCCACTTCTGACGTAAACCTTCATAATAAGTTATCTAAGGTTAAAAGACTCAATTTGCTCATTGCACAGCTGTGCATTGTTCAAAATCTTGTTTCTACTCATATTTTTTTGTCTTTTGTAGGTGTTTACACGGATATTGAGAAATTTTCATCTTCCTGTGGGTGGAAATTCTCCAGCTAGCAGCCTCAAAGATTATTCAAGCATTATAAGTTCATTTGTAGTGTGGATCATCAATTCTATGGTATGTCTTTCATATGATAATTATTAAAAAAGTTAAGGAGTGTAGAAGTTTGAAAGGTTTATTAACAGTCAAGAGAAGGAAAACGAAGACACTCTGATGTATGGTACCAGAAACGATTCACTATAGAGGTGCCGAGACCAGCTAACAAAACATGTTCTATACAATTTGGGTCGATCGCTCAGCTGAGAAAAGTCTCTCATTTGAAATCTGTGAGCTGAATTGTTGGTGTTAAAAACTTCCTTACAGAAAATTACACCTTGAATTTTTTGACAGTCTTTCTAAATGCAAAGTTGATGGTTAGACTCAAATGCTGCATGTAATATGATATGAAGTTTCTCTCAACGAAGTCAGTTCGACTTGATCACCGCTCATTTTAGGTGTTTGCGTATCTCGCAGATATGGAACGGCAAGAGAGAAAAAAAGAGAGACAAGAGATACAGGCGTTTCTTCGTTTCATAATTCAAGCAAAGATCGATTCTTTTTTCAGTTTTGTTTTTCAGATTTTATCTGGCGGTTGTTAATTGGCAAGTTTTGTCGAAATTTTAGTCGCAAAATATATTTTTACTAGCAATGGCTTGGGCGCATCTTAGGCCCCGTTAGTAGTTTTTTGATTTGCTATTTCCTTTACTTATGCGCCATATGCGCATGGCGCACAGCCTTCCCAATCCCTGTGTGATTACTGTGTTGATGTTATTTTCAACAATTATTACTTTTGTCCCACAGGGCAGCTCCAGTACAACTCAAGACCATCTCTGTAAACTGTTCAAAGCACTTGAATCATTTTATCATCCTTCCAACAGTGGACGCTACTCGGTAACTCCAAATGAAATAAAACCCTGCCACATTAGGGAGTGGTTATTCACTTGCACAATGCACTCTTGTCTACAGCTGTAATTGCAATGCATATGTAATGCAAGTTTTGGTATCAGCATCGAGGGCTCCTTTTTTCAAATAAGGGATAAGATAGTAGGTGTTCATTTGGACAGGACAAAGGGGATGGGTGGTGGGGGCAGCTTACGGTCGTATTTCATGTTTCCTTAATTGTGGCCAGTACAAATGTGCTGCATTATCTTTCGTAGTTTGTAACTCTGCACAAAAACCACAACCCAAATAACTTACAGTGTATTCTTCTAACTATTGGCATTACGGTTGGTACTCATGAGTTATTTCGAAGCTTAACATGTTCAAAAAACTCATACAAACGTGAGCGCTTTAATTGTGTAGACAAACGTATGTGAAAGTGGTCAGTTATTTCAGTATTTGTCCAGAAAAATGAAGGAACGAGTATGGGCATCAATTCAAGGTGGTTTGCTCTTCAAAATTGTTTGTCTGAGAGGAAGATCAGCCACAGGAAAGGAGCACCTACGGAGGGGAGGCAACAATTCAAGGATTTCTGGCACTTAACAGCAATTTTAATTTAAAACGTTTGTGCATGAGCACTTTTATATGTTGTTAAAAGTATTGTGTTTATTTGTGTCCTTTCTTTTACAGGGGAAGCTTCAGAGATTTCTCTACAACTTGCCTAAAGAAATGATTAAAAGGCTTCACAGGTATGATTTTACCAAGATTATCACATACATGTGTAATACTGTAGGAATTGGCTGAAGTCCGTTGCTAGCAGTAAACTGCCCTGGAAGTTTATGAAATGTGTGGTATACCCTGTGTTTTACCAGCAAAACAATTAAGGTTACTCCATGCCATTTCATGCTTTAGTAACGTGAGGGCTCGATGGGCCAGCTAACTTGTTTACAGACCATAGCCCACTAATATCCCAGATTGTTTCTACAGTCACATGATGATGCTTTCATGGGTGCCTTCACTTGTAGTATAAACATGCCCATACATGTATACACACCACATGATGATTGATAAGTTTCCTATTGTTTTGAACTGTATCTGTTCATCTTACAGAGAGAGATTTCCAAAGAACACCTGGGTGACTCCCATACCACAAGAGGCCAAGCTGACAGATGCAGAACTCACTGCATTTGTTGAATGCCTTAAACCTGCTGTCATGTTGGCTGTGTTTCACAAGAGTGGAAGCTTTGATGCGGCTGGAGCACTGCAAAACTTGGCATTAATCAAACCTGATATTGTTCTTCCAACTTTACTGGATAAGTAAGGTTCACGGCAGTTACTTTTCCTTTTTGATATGTTCCTTTCCCACACAAAGAAAATCTAAACATGGCAGAAGGCCATTTTGCAAGTTAGTTATGATTACAGCTAGATATCACATTTTTTATGACAGTCGACTCTCGCCCTGCAGACACTTCTCTATTAAGGACAGCCCGCCATTGCGGACAAAAGCCAGCCCCCGGCGAACGTATAAAGAAATGACTGGAACAAACTTCCTTTATCAGGGACTCTCGCTATTACGGAAATGCGGACACTTACATGCCCCCTGCGCGACACTTCACTTGTTCTTTTCTCTTGCTTTAGTGGACACTTCGTCCAAAATCCTGACTCACATGGTATAAAGCCACATGTTGACGAAAATCAAGAAACCATCCTTCATGCGAACAGGAGAATTTTCCTCCTCGCGGCCGGATCTTTTTCGGTTCATGAGACCACATTAGAAACTCTATGTTTGCGTATTTACATATTATTTCATATGTTTAGAAACAAAACATTTTTTTTCTATCGTACCCCGCTATTACAGACTCTCGCAATTACGGACATTAAATCTCCCCCTGAGGGTGTCCGCAATGATAGGAGTCGACTGTATTCCCAGCACGAATAATTGAAACTACAATTAAATCAATTTGGCGTACAGTACACATGTACTTATGCTTTATACACTGCTCAGTAGTGTATTTTTAAGAACTTTTGCTCAAATACTTTCCAACGACAGGCTCTAAATAGCATTTGATACAATTGTCGTAGGGAACGAATTTTTACCTAGAGTAATTCAACATGGTAGAAGTTTACCATATAATAACATCAGAAATTGTCGGTATCATGTATTTAACTCTTCGTGATGACTAGTGCTAGATGGAAACTCTCTTTTCTTCTCATCTCTACCAACTTTTCTTACATTCTTGTAGTCGGCTCGTTTTACTTCACTTGTCATTTGATTTATGGCATCAAGGAGACGTGCTCGTGGGAAACACAATGCGAGATTTCCTTGGCCAAAGAGAAAGCTGTTTTTCAAATTTGTTTCCAACACTTTTGCCCTTCAACCTACTACTATGAAAAAATTCAATTAACCTCTACGCTGTACATCTTTCCTTATTGTTATAGGTTGTATGTTGCCCTTGCCACCCTAACTGAGCCCCATCAGTTGACAGCAACTTTAAACTGTGTCACGTCTGTAGCCAGGGCACTTGTCAGGCCTGATGAGTCTTATCCTGCAGGTCGACATCATGTTCTACCATTACTACAGCTTGTTTTACCAGGGATTGATCCAAATGACTTCAGAAAGGCTCTAGTGAGTTTATATTCCGTGAACAATGTAGTTTATGCTTTCAGGTCTATCTCCGTCATGTGTGCTTAAGTTGGTGTCGGCCATGTGATATTTTCTAAGTTTAGGTCGTAATGTAGCTAAGATGTTTTCTTTTCATTCCACAGGGAACATTTATGTTTATATCTACTGTTGTCTGTCTCGTTCCTGTGGTTGATTGTTCAGAAGCTGTGGGAATTGTAGAAATGACGGAGGTTAGTTACTATAATTGTGTTACACTTGTACTTGTTCACGTAAAGCCCTCTTTGTCTTTATTAGAAGAATAGATATCCACTTTTCCCCAGGACTTGTTCTGTAAATCAGGAATTTTTATTGGACGTTTGTGTACAAAATCGTGGACAGAAATGCTATTTAATTTCATAACATAGTTAATGTCGTAATGGTTCGGTTTCTGAACAAACTACTTTCGCTGAGATCTTCGTCCATTAAATATTTAACCACAAGTGGAAGTACTGTCGCAATCTGACTGGCCAATTTGTCGGTAAGAGTACAGACAACACTGCTTACGTCAACGTGTCACGCAATGGTCACGCACCGAAAGAATCGTTTTATTTGACGTCGATATTATGGTTAATACAAAGCGACGGTGGTCTGTACTCTAATCGACAGCGATATTCATCATCACGCTGGTCAAAATTTGTAGCGGACAGACCGTGCTAAACCACTGTCGATTTGTTTAATTAATGTTGGTTCTTGATTAGAGTGGGTTCGGTGTGTGGAGTTATGAATGTACTCGGAAAGTTTGGAGAGAAGCCGAGAGCGGCTAACGCCACCACAGCTGCGCATATGACATGTACAGGTATTATTTGAATTTTATTATCATGATGATAACGATTACGATTTTTTTTTGTCTCTTTTATGCAGGATGAGAAGGAGTTGTGCCTTGCCACGGCTCAGTTTGAAGACTTTGTGTTACAGTTCATGGATAGGTGAGTGACACTGTATTTCATTGATTTTGAAGGAACTTTTGGAGAGTATATGCATGATGGTTTTTTATAATAAATAACTTGGCTATTGGTTATTTAGTATAGACTATAAAACCAAAACGATGATTTTAACTCATTTATTCTCGCAACGATTACAATATATTCGGGCGCAAATCCCGCGATCGTTGCTATGGTTATGATTACCAGCAAAATAGTTTCGTGCGGATTTTTTTTTTTTTTTTGCTCAAAGGGCTTCTGCGTGCAGAAGCAATCTCGTGAACAGTTTCAAAACTGTACGCTATGTTGGGCAAAGCAGAGAAAGCAATTCTTGTGAGTTGGCTGTGCATCTTTGCTCTGATACATCATGGGTATTGTCCATGATGCTGGCAGCATTTAGTTCATTGATCAACAAATTTAATCCGATCTTCTTCAGATGTTTTTCGATGATCGATAACTCATCATTTGAGGCCACATCCGAACTGGACAGCACAACGATGAAAGCAGATCAGCGGCATTCGCTGGAGGGCATGATGGGAATGGGTGTAGCGTCGACGTTTCATGCCATTCTCATGCAGAGCTCACCCAAGATTTTTCAGGTAAAGTTTTATCCTTCATTCGTTTGTCTGTCCACAACTTCGCTCGCTCGCTCGTTTTTTTTTTTTTTTTTCCCCGTTGACCCACTCGCAGGTTTTTTCATTTTTTTGCGCCATATAATCACTTTTTTTTTGTTCGTCCATTAACTAGTTGAATCGTTTGCGTAATTTTTCTTTATCTTTTTTCATATTTTCCATTGATGCCATCTTCCTTTTAATATTTTGATTTCGTATTTGTTTGTTTATCTCCTGTAAAAAGTGTGCCATAGTTTTTCGTTCGTAAGTCACTGACTGTAATGAGCAAACATTATATTATTACCTTGCTGCTCATTTTCACAATTCACCAGGCACAAATTGAACCGTGCTTTCGCAAGAAGCAGTTACTGTGCATGAGGTTCATTAAAGTTTTGTTAAGCGGCTGCCGATGATGTAATAGGCGGCAGTGTCAGAAAAGGGCCGCAATTCGAAACGCAAACAGGAGAGCCTGCTCACAAGCTAAACAGATAGTAGTGATAGGTGTTGTATATGTAGGTGGTGTTAGACCGCTCGTGAGTGGCTTTATTGAAATCTCTAAGTATTTCCACGCAAGACTTATTGACTTCGACAAATAGGTACATGTGTGATGGTCTCCTTACATGTTTTTTAGAGTGCCTTGGAGAAGTTGTTTGCCTTCTGTGGAAACAAAGTACTTGAAACAAAAGTAGCTGGAAAGATGGCCTCAGACATGTGCCGTGCGGCTGCCAGGGTCAGTATATAAAGGCATAGTCTTGAAGCGGAGCCTTTTTTTTAAATAAAATAGAGTCCAACGTGATATTGAAATAAGCGGGGATTGTATTGAGTTTGTTTCACTACGCCCTGTGATTGGTGAATGCTAACTTGGTCTCACACTTTTTCTCGCGCTTTTGGCCGTTTCTACTTTTGCATGTTCTGATTGGCCCCTTTTGATATTTACGTATAACTTGGTTCTGATTGGCTGGTCGAAAGTTTTCTAACTGTCCATTTACAGCTTGCATTAGGAATTGCTTGACTTACAGCAAGTTTTGCAAAAAGAACCTTTTCTTAGAATAAGGTTCTATTTTTTTCAATTTCTTCAGATGTAAAACGTTTGTATGCATGGCTTAAAGATTGCTTGTAAAATAACGTGTACGTGTAGGTATAACTTCTCAAACTAACCCCGGCAGAGTAACAGGATTTTCTCGTACTCATTAAAATTATCATTTTGGTTAATTTAGTCAGGCAAATTAGTTGGTGAAGTCTATATTTGATACAATATATTTTTCTCAATTTATAGACAAATTCCAAAGCTACTCTAAAGATGTTTGTGCCTCACTGTTGTTCTATTATAGAACACTTGACCTCAGGTTAGACAATGTACATACAAAATAAAGGTTTTGGTTATGGCAATGTAAACGATTACCTGCCTCGCCAAAGTTGTTGTTCTATCATAGAACACTTGACCTCAGGTTAGACAATGTACATACAAAATAAAGGTTTTGGTTATGGTAATGTAAATGATTACCCGCCTCGCCAAAGTTGTTTCTTTTTATTTATTTATCTATTTATTTACTCAGCCATTTACCTACATACTTATCTGATTATTTATTATTAGTATAAGTATTTATCTATTCCATTTTTGTGCGGAAACAAACGCAAACTGCGCCCAACCGACCATCCCTCCACTTTCGTGAAACTGATAGATTCCCACATCGCTTGGTTAGATCTTAGATGGTTTGTGTTTTTGCGGCCATTTTGTAAATACTATTATCTCACTGTGATTGGCAATTTTTTTCTTTGAAAATTGTCAAGTGGAAGGCGTGGCAGACGAAGAAGAAGTGGATGATCAGCTTTTGTGGAATCTTCAACTTTTATCCGAGGTGAATATCAGTTTGTCTGTGAGTCACTTTGTTTTTGTGGAAGGTTAAACTTAAATCGATGCCCACAATCATTTGAGAAAATAGTTTTATGTGTAGCAAAGTTTTCCTCAAAAGGTAATAGCAATTTCAGAGGAAAGACCCGGAAAAGAGAGAGCCTGGCGAGAGTCTACCCAGGTAGCGGTTAACTGCCACTGCTAAATGAGGAATGAAGCCAGATGTTGATAACAAGACAAATTGTAGTGGGGTTCTTGTTCCCCCTAGATTAGTTTGATCAAAATGTTTGTAGAATTGAGTGCTTTGAAAGTACACTGTCTCTTTTCAAGACTACCTTACTTCCTCAAATAAGCGCCCGGGCGCTTATCTAAAATTTCGTTTGAAAGGGAGGGGGGGAAGGGGCGCTTATTAGAAGGAGGGCTCTTAATCTAGGGGGTGCTTGTTAAGTTAGCGTAGCAATAGGACAAACATTAAAAGAAATGATAATGTACAGAAAGAACTCTGCAAGCATACGGAGCTACAATTAACTGGAGCGAATTAGTATTTTGCTTTTCTGATTCCGCTGTAATCGAAGCTTAAAAGCTTTGAATAAATTGGTAATAGAAACAGCCTCTTCTTTTTTTTTTTGTATGTCTACTATTTGAGTAAATGAGGGAGTCGGGGGTGGGGGGAAGGGCGTTTATTCGAGGAGGGTCTTTGGTTTTGGCAAAAGGGGTGGTCGCTTATTCATGGAAGAGAAGTTATTGGAGCGTGGGCCCTTATTTGAGGAAATATGGTACATCTCAGAGGAACTGTCCCCTTAACAAGTCTTTCGTTTTGTCACACAATGCGCTTTCTCCGCCGGAAGAAGTCGTTACGAAATCGAACAATGCTAAAAAAAGACTGTCCGCTTAAATACAATGTTGTTCTGTGTGTGTGCTTTTATTTTACTTTGGTTATGTTTGTCTTTTCAAGCGTTAAAATAAGTAATTAGTACTGTAGTATTTCATATTTTCACGCTCTTTGTTTTTCTTCAGGTCGTTCGCTCCAGCGGAGCTTTGGAGTACAAAGACAAACTCATTACTGCTATAAAGGGTACGATTCATCTCAAGTGCAAAGAAGCAGCTACTTTAGGAGCCACGGTGAGTGGATTTTATATGATCATCAAGTATAACGACTCAAATTAATGTATCATGGTTTTATTCGTTTTTGCGTAATGGAACTGTGTTAATTTTTTTGTAGCTTCTGGAGCATCTCTTGCGGCCACTGGCTAAGATTTACCCTATGGAGTGGAGAAGCGTATTGGTTGATTTTGGCACACCACCGTCAGAACATCTCTTTATTAGGGTGAGTGTTTTTTTTCGTCATCTCCGTCGGAAGAGCACTGGAAAATCATCTGAGATATAGAACTTTTCAGAGACATTTGAGGATAAAAGAGGTTACTGGCACGCCCTCTGTATTCTGTAAAAAAGACGTTTGTGAGTGTTATACAAAGTGGATTGTCCCTGCAGTTACGCAAGTACTTTTTTCTGAGTGGTTTTAAAAGCGTGACATGGAAAACAACAAAACTTGAAATTCTCACCATATACTTTCACTAACACTTGAGTGAACATATTTGCTATAGCTATAAATTAGAGGTTTTTTGGAGTATTTTTATTGCTCCTAGATGCGATGGTTGTCTATCGCAAGGTATCCGTTGGTAATTTTGTCAGGCTTCCATAAAGTTCGCTTCTACCCTGCGGGGTGGAGAGAGGCACTTTTGAGCGTAACGTGTCTCGCCAAGAACACAACACGGTGACCCGTCCACTCTTGGAACCAGACCTCTTGACCCAGACCTCTTGACCCAAAGTTATGAGCACTAACCGTTAGCCACCACCTCCCCCCCGAACTCACCATTTGGTAATATGAATATTAACTATCGCCTACACTGTTCAACATGTTTAGGACTGGGGAAAGCCTGGAGATCTTTTCAACTTGAATATTCAGTGGCACATACCCACGAAAGAGGAAAAGCTTTTGGCAAAGGAGCTGTTGGACACTTTTCTACAGCCTGAGCTGACAAGACTGGAAAACTTCCTGGATGGATCGGTAACACTCTCGAGGTACACACTTTTTTTGCACACGAACATCAATTTCGTAAATACCTTGACTCGGCTTTTTGTTTGAAGTAGAGGTTCTGCTCTAACTATCATTGTACGAGCGTGCGCTGGATTTGACATGGTAGATAGTCGTGCCTCGTTGGTCATACATGTAGCTATCTCATTTCTAACGAGCAATAGGGGAAAAAGTGTTTAATTAAAAAATCTTTAAAGAAATATCTAAAAATCTGCCACACACGTCACAAAAATTGCTTGGTTTATTGCCATGTTTGTGATCCATGATACAAGAGCACAGGTACCATGGCCTCGGAACCAATTGAACCTTGGAATCGCAACATATCTTGGCTCCCTTTCGAAAGTTATTTGTATCACATTACTTCTTTTCAAAACTACGTTACATTGACGAAGGAATCGCTTATTATTGACCACTCAAAATTCACTTTTCAGCAGTACAACCCCAATCTTTGCCTGCAGAGTGTTTAAACCGTCTGTAATTTTTTTTCTTCAGAGAGGAGCTTCAACAGTGTTTGAATATAATCTTTGGCTGTCTGTCTGGTGCGGCCATTCTTTTACCGGATTGGCAGAGACCTCCACTTGAAAACATGTAAGGGCTGGTTTGAAATTTTGCAATGATGTCAGTTGTTGACTTTGTCAAGAAGGACTCTTAATTGTTTACTTTTAATCTCATTTTACAGAGGTCTGAAGACTCTCGTAAGTCGTGGACGATTTCAGAATACTGTCTCTATGGATCCAGGTATTAGACTTGGTAGCACATTGCTTTTTACTGCCTAGTGAAGCTCAGCTAAGCCCAAAATTCTAAAGCTCTTTCATCCTTTTCTCAGATGTATCCATGGGAGAAGACAATTCACGAGCAAGGATAGCGGAGTTGATCCACAAACTGTTAGGTAATCCAGCCACAGATGCATACATTGCTGCTGAAATTCTCTACAGCTTGATGTGTGCTTTATTCACATATAATCCGGAAATGCGTACAGTGAAATACGTGCATGAGTGAGCGAGGGGGTGAATGAGCGAGCGTGGGGGTGACCATGCGAGCGTGGGAGTGACCGTGCGAACGTGGGAGTGACTGTGCGAGCGAGCAAACGCGCACGCAAGTGAATGGATAGTTTGTCTTAGGGATAAGACAATTTTTTTAATGACTAGAATTTTAATCATCTTTGTTTTATCAGCTCATCTTCTTTGCCACCACGAGGATCACACCAAGGCGCTTTTGATTATTGTCAAGGTAATAAACAATTTTCAAATCGATTTTTAATTATTTTCGTCGCTAGTTGTGCCTCTTTATGTAGTTCGGGCGGTTCACACTTAGTCATTCCTTTCACATTTGGCAGATCTACGATCTTCTAATGCTACATGTGGGAGGCCAAAGGGAAGAGTTTGATAGCAGGTGAAGCTTTTCATCCTTTTTTGTAACCCATCATTTGTGTAATCCATCTATATTTACATTCTCTCTGACGATGGTCTAACGCTCGAGACGTCAGCTTCGAAACTCTTTTACGGTGGCCAATTTACGTTATCAACTCAGTTGATAACACTAAATTACCCTGTTATACTCTCCCACCAACACAGTGCCACAGTTTCTCTAGAACCTTACCCCCTTTATCCATCTACATTTAGTTCGTTTCGAATAGTTTTTTCATGCTGTGTCGCTGAAAGTACGGTTCCAGTCAAAGATTAGATGACAGTCCCTCGAAAATTGGTTATACAATCAAGACTGGAGAATTTTTGTCGGCCCGTCAAAAGAAAATTTTTGAGTCAGTTCTCGGGAAGTTCGACAGAAGAATGCAAATTCTCTTCCTTTCCAATGATACTCGACGAAAAGCAGGGGGTAACTTGTTATTAATTAGCATGCTACCGGGGGGTAGCAGCCAAAACAAAAACCAAAATGATTTGTTCAACCAACAGGGATTAGGAAGGCCGTGCGCCATGCGCGTATGGCGCATAAAGCTACGAAATGGCCTGTTACAAAAATACTTACCGGGCCTGTGATGCGCCCTGACCGCACAAAGCTAGTGAAATACAAACTATTTTGTGAAAAGGATTGTAATTTGTAAAAGTTTCACTTTGGTGAGACATAAACAAGCGAAAAACTACGGTGCCTTCGCTCGTTTGATCACGCTCGCTTTATTCTTGTTCTCAGATTCTGAACTCGGACTTTGCATGCAAACGAGGCTATTGCTCGGAGTTCCATGTGCTTTCGTTTTCGAGCAGAGTTCGAGCGTTTTCGTCGCTTTGAATGTATTTGCATCGATTAGCCTCATGCCTCCGAAAAAAATCTTGAGATTGGACAGCTCGCAGAGAACGTTGTCTACATTTTTCAACACAACAGCGGAACAGAATCGTGATACTGTGAGCGAAAACGACCGTGAAACGGACGAAACAGATATAGGTATAGACTGTAATACACAAGCAATAAACCTTTGTTAAAATTTTTACTGGCCCATTTATTTACCCTAATGGCCCAAACGTTTTATAAATGGCCCATAACTTTCCAATGATAGGGGCCATAGGCTCATTTGCCTGTTAAACCTTCCTAATCCCTGAACCAATAACTCGAAAAACAGAGTTTTCATGCATGCACTAGGTGAACGTGGGTTACAAACTCACCTGAACTATTCCATGTTATAGCAACTTAAATGTAATCGCTTTTCTTTTCTGTAGATGGCGAAGTGCGAGTGCCGTTAAGAAAGCCATGGAAGACAAGGTATCGACCGTGTCTATAGTCTACAATCCCCAAGTCTTTTCCTCCTGTTTTCGAAACCTACGACGCTTGTTAGAGTGATAGTCAGGCGCACTTTCTATTGAGTGTCGAAAGTGATTCGGAATTTCTTAAGTATTGTTTTACCTCCCACGGTTGCGAGTCCAGCTAACTCGGGCCACTTTTCCAACCGATCAAATTCAAAACTAAAAAACCAACCTTGACTTATTGACTCCATTTTTCTCGCGCTCCAGGCGGTTGACTTATTTTTACTTTAATTCTCGTTATGATCATTTTCTTTTGATGTCAGTATTTGTTGTGATGTCTTTGGTTTCGGGTTTACGACGCTCGATCCAGACCCCCTCTCGATTTAAGTTAGTTTGTCTTGTGGGAATAATGTTACCCGCACCTCGTATATTATTCCAATCTTTTAGTGGCGAACTAAAAAACGCCTCGTATTGATTTCATGCGGGCAAAATTCTTCACAAACCGTTCGTTATTTCTTCTTCAAATTTTTAAAGCGGAAATGATCTTTAAAACAACTCGATGTCCATGTAGCATTTGCCTCTCCACGTTGTGTCACGCTATATGCATAATTTAAAAATATATCACTTGTAAGTGAATTATGTAGAAGTGTATTGTATTTAGGGGCAGACCACGATTTTTTAAGAGGGGAAAAAAATAGTGAAAAAACTGTTTGCGAAAGAAAAGAAAAATGCAAAACGAAGCCAAAAGTTGTCAGCAGAATGAAACAACCGAATAAAATTATTCTCATACAAAACGTCATGACAAATTTTTATCTTAAGCGGATATTTATCCCTCTCCTTCTTAAAAAAAAAAACAGTTTCGTTCCAATCTTAAAGCAAAGTTGGTAGTTTTGGTAGCATTAACCTTTTCCCTTCCCCCGTTAGTAAGCATTGGTAAAAAAGTGGTACAATACTTAAGTGTTTTTAACTTAAAACGCGTTCTACGTACAGCTTGCAGGGAAAAAGAAACACGTCAGACCACTGCTTATTGAACGAGTTCAGCTACAACACGAGGTACGCTCAAATAACCGTCATGGCACACCTATAGTTTATCGTATTCTTTTTCCAAATAATGTAATACCCCATTCAGCAAAGCTTTAACGTGTTTCAGAGTTGTTTTGTGAAACACAGTTTAATTTTTTTTCTTTGTAGGAAATTGTTACTTAAACCTCTTACTTAAATTGTAGTGCATTCGAAATGTAAGTTAGCAAGTACTTGAATCCTATGGAAAAATAAAGTTTTTCAGTTCTCTGTTTATGATTTTCATTCTGTAAACGCCAGTTTAACAAAACATGTTTTGCTGGTGTGAATAGGGTATAGCGACTGGCACAGTGTAATACACAGAATGAGGTTAAATAGAGCGTTAATGAAAACTTGCATAGTATCTTCTCATCAATATCTTTTCTCTTCAACATCTTTTCTCGAAAGAGACGCATCTTAGACCGGATTTCAACGCAGTTAACAACACTACATAAAGTGTTATTGGACGATTTGTTTAAACTTGCAACAACAGTGTACACAGAGGTTAGTCTTCGTTGTTTTTATATTTTTATTACATCCGTTACGAAATCTCTTGTGATCCTTGTTATCTGATTGGCTCTCATTCACGAATCGCACCATTCTTTGCTCTAAATCAGTAAGCGAAGACTGAAATCGCATCTTTTTCCAGCCAATGGGGAAGCTTTACTTATATACAACTGCCAATTGCTTGTTGAAAGAAACCAATCGAATTGCTGGAAAATGAAAAAACAACTTTTGCAACTTTATACAAACCAGCTTACTAGTGGATCAGCGAAACTTTTGTTCGAACTAAATCCGGTATCTGAGCGACTGTATTTTACGATTTCAAAATGGTTCTAATAAAGTGGTTATTGAACTGAGTTGAGTGAAATTTGGTTTGAAATCGAACTTGTGACTCCAAATCACGCATATGATTTCAGTTCAAATTTCACTCCACTCGTGTCAATTACCATTATTTATACTTTAATTTAACTTAATTTAATTTTTTTTTCACATCACTTATAATTATTGATAAAAAAGTTAATAAACTCATAAAATAATCACGCTATTAATAGTTATACTAATAATGTCGGTTAAACCTCCTACACATCAGGTAATGATTACATCCAACAAAATCAAATTATTTTTCCCATACTTTTTTCTTACCTCGTTTTCTCAATTTCTATTTATTTATTTATTTATTTATTTATTTTTTTTTTTTTTTTTTTTGCGCTCTGCATTAGTTTTTCATGGTTGTCCATGTCTAACGAAATATCTCATAGAAACATCTTTGAAAGTGTCGCAGGTTTGGCGTATGATTTCTCTCTCATGAAAAGAAAACAGGAAAATCAAGTTGAAACGTGGCACTACTCTGATGATTTTCACTTTGACGCTCGTAAAGTGCGTCATATTTTACCTGTAAGACATATTATGGAGCAGTGTCGGCGGTATCTGGTGCGTCTTGAGGACCATATTTTCACATTTTTTTCGGCAGGTTCGTATCAAAGCTCAAAGAGTCTTGTCTTCTTGTATCGATGTGTTTGATAACTTCGCCCGCACTTTGGTTCCACCAACACTCTCCAAGCTTCAGAACAATCCAGATGTCTCTCATGAAGAATTCAAGGTTTGTTGCCCTTTTATAGTGGGCTACAATTGTAGTTTGAGCCGGAAATTTTTACAATTTTCACACGTTTTGCGACTTTCTAGCAATTTTCTCATGCAGTGGTTTGAGATCAGGCGCTACCTCAAGTGACTGTTACAGGAATGTTATCTGAATGAACGTACTTTCCTATTTGAATGAGGTAGCGCCTTTGCCTAGGAACATTTTATTAACAGCCTCTTTTCCTTCCTTTTTTTTTCTTTTTATGAATTTATGAATGTGCTTTTTCATTTATTTCAGCTTTTTACGCTCTTCATCAAGAGAGTTTTGAAAATTAATGTCCGTTTCTTTGTCAGTTTTAATTTGATTATTCCATGGCTATATTGTTGGTGGAGTCATCGTGTAAATTTGTAACTCACCCTAGGCCTCCTGAGGCCCCTGGAAAACCTCCATGTTTCCCTTAGACAGGGAAACAAGCTCTCCTGGGACCCGTTTCTCGTTTACTGAAAAGAGAAGCAGGCTCTGACACCCTAACCAGTCCATTTTGTTTCTTTAACAGCTAATTTCATTTTATCATTCTCAACATTTTTAATACCCCCATGTTCAGTGAAAACATAACAGCTTTACGGGCCCGTTAAATTAACGGAACCTTCGAGAAACGGGGCCCTGTTTGGCTTCCGCCTTACGGCCCCTTCGCCCATGAAAGGGGTCCTTTCCAAGGCATAGCCGCCTATTATTACACATTCGGCAGCCGCCTTGGGGAAAAGGTACTCAAAACCTCGCCTTACGTCGTGAATGCGTCTCATGTATCCTCGGGCCGTTTTGTTTTAGGGTGCGCTCTATGTGTTGCTGAATAACCGCATGTTGTTCCTGATAGTGCACTATTGGGAGGTCATGGTGGACGTTTGGCCAGTTATTATTCAGGTAGTTACAGCATTTGAAATAGGCCATGTTCAGTTTTTGCTCATTGTTGTTATTGTTGGGTTTTTGTTCTTTTTTTTGTATCGTTTTGTTTAAATGGCTGTAAATGTATAAAACCCATATTTAGGAAATATGGAAATTTATGTCGTGATAATGAACTTTCCTGATAGGCTGACCATTCTGAGAAACCTTCAATTATAACTCTGATTACAATGCTGGCTGAGAAAATGGTGAAGAAATACGACACAGTGGCTATCAGCAGAACGGTAGGATCCAATTCATAATGATATTCTTTCTTTCTTAAGTTCGTTGGTTTCTTCATTTTATCTTTTCTTTTAATATGTTTTTCGCTATCGTGTCTTGAAAGAACAAAAAGTTATAAATGATCTTAAAACCAGACTTTTTTCCTCCTATTTTCAATTTTTTTCTCATTTAAATTTTTGCTAGTAAGCCGAATGATTGCAGGGCCGAACGGCATTTTTCGGACCGGCTCCCGTCAACCTCTCCGGCCCTACGCACGTCAGCTTTCACTGTCGTCAGTTTTGTATGGGCTTGCATGAGCGGGGCCGTACCGGTCGTATGATAATCCCAATTAATGCGAAATAAAAAGTGATAAGTAGAAAGGAAAACATAAGTTTGTAATATCGTTTGAGTTGACACCAGATAAGCAATGTATGAAATATTGTGCAGAGAAATGAGAACTTGATCTTGGTGGTTAATGGGTTAATTCCTGTCGTTCTCTGTCATCCTTAACCATCCTGGGTGCTTTGGTGGCTTACTTTCACCGCTTTGGGTTTTGGCAACTCAAAACCACAGAACTTTCGCCAAAGAATTAGGCCGTTGACTTGTTTTGAAACGTTTTCGAAAACTTCAATTCAATTTGAGGCGAGATCGGCCATTAGAATGCTAGAATGGTTTACGTCGTAATTTCGTAACCGCGCCGGTATTTGTATCTACCTACAGTACGTACAATTGTTGTTTGTGATCTCTGATTCATCTCCAGGTGACCGATGCTGCAGTTGAGCAAGCTAAGCGACTTTTAAACTCCACTGGACCGACCCCTCAAAGTCATCTGAAGGCTCTCCCAAGTCCGACAGAGACAGCCCTACCAACCGAATTAGAACTGAAAGAGAGCGAAGAGGCCTGGAACACAACGCGAGAGAGTAATTTAAGGTAGCTAGAAACACCATGACAACAACCATGATCATTTCGATTACAAGAAACAGCTCTCAATTTCATCTAATTTCTGTCATCTTTGCTTCATCTGGTCCTGAGCAGTGAACGTCACAAATGTCTTCGAGCGGAATAATTCATTGTTCTCCATGATTTTGTTACTCCTGGCTTTGTATGATATTTCTTCGGATTCCTCATTTATAAGATCTTTCTTTCTTCTCAGGAATTATCAAAAACTCGTTAGTATACTTGTTGATATGCTGGAGGGCGAGAATTTGTAAGTTATTTTCCTTGTTTTTGCAGTTTAAGTTTAGGAGTTTTAATCTAGCGTGTGAAAGATGCCTTTCGCGCTGGACTACGGAGATCGAACGGTCCAGCTTCGTACATGGGCCGGATCAACTGTAAAATCTTCACAACAAGACCCTTCAATCCCACAGGGCCTCTCTCCACCTAGGAATGTAAATAGGAATCATTAAATTGTCGGGGAAACTAGACGAAATCCTTGTCGACCGTAGGAGCGGGGGTGGGGGTAGGGAGGGTTAACCTTGTGACCTCGTGGTAGATTAGTATGTTGTCAAGAGAGTAGTTGCTATGGTCTTACTCGTTTTCGGGATAAACTCGGGAAACGATCCTCGTGGATCGTAAGCTAAATTTATCCAACATATACCTCCCAGGCACATTGCTTGTATAGCCATTGGACCTTCCACTTGTTAGCCTCGCCAGAACCTTTTTTCCATATTCCTGTATCCTTGAAACAGTATCCCTGAGAAGTTTGTATTCCAGCTTGTAGTTCCATTGTTTTGCACTGAATATATTTATGTCATAAATCCTGTGTAATCCTCTTGTATTCTTCTGTTTTCAGACGCTGGCGTTATCTTCAGATTTGTTTCAGTTTCCTCTTAATGCTAATCCGTTATGATGTTCCCCTGCCAGCAAACGCAGTGAACCTGTGCGTGAAGTTCCTCAATCATGATGCATTAGTAATTAGAAAGGTAAATTACGTGATGGGCGAGCAATTCCTGTCATTTGATTTAAATTAGAAACTGAGTCGACTATTTATGGTTTGGTTTTGCAGCAGCCATTTCTTATTAATACGATGCCAGCTAGTGCGAAGTCTGGAACCAAAACTTTTCTGGAAACCGCTGTGAACTTCTCTGTCTGTTTCTCAAGCAGTGACCGTACTTTCCGATATTTGAGGTGAAATTTGCGTGGGTGTCCCGACCCTGGTAAATTTTTAGTTTTAGACTTTGCACTAGCTGGAGTGGTCGCTAAAAAAAAGTAGAATATCAACGCGCTCGCAATAAGATTCTCCTCCAATCTAATAGGTTGTAAAGGGACCTACACAGAAGTCGAGCGTGAATCAAAGTATGAAAATATGGCACTTCCCCTGACTTGTTCTTTAATCTTGTATAATGCAGTCTCGCTGACTCAAAAAATAAAATTGGTTTTAATACAGAGCGATGTGAAATAGAAAAAGAGCGGTGATAAATTCTGAGCCCAGTTATGAATTAGATGAAGACAATTTTCGTCTCGTCATAAGCTTAGAACAAAGCAAACAATTCCTTCGTCCTACGCTCGTGAGAAGACGAAAAACATCTTTCTCTAAGATGTAAAGTGTTTGTCACAAGCTTGGAACAAAGACAAAATCTAACTCGTCCTGTAGGATTCAAACACTTGAGATCCTGCGTTCGGTTATTTAACCGAGGTTCACAAAACCTTTTTTACAACTTTGAATTCAAATAAATATCATTTGACCTGCACATGAACTTCAAGTAAAGCACTGATCCTGGTAGGTGTGTTGTAATTGAAGCAATTTTAGAAAAGAAGCGCCCACGGGATTCCAACCCATGCCTCCCAGATACCGGTTGGGCGCTGTTTCAAAACTTATTGGTGAGACAAGGCATTAATCAAGTTCTTATGGGATACGCGTCCGGCATTCAGCTGGAATCACGCATGCTTTTAAAGAGCCCTTCTGCCCATAGTAAGTCAAAGCAACCATAGTACTTTCATTGTACTGTCTTTCTTGTTAATGCCCCATTCGTTGTCATCGTTTTTTGTTAGCTCGCAATAGACGCCGTTGGAGCAGTCCTTAAACAGCAGAAAAGACCGCACGCTAAAATAGTGGTCAATCCTTACACTGTTGGTAAGCCTAGCTCAGTATATTTTGTAACCTTAGCAAAAGCATGGCCAAAAAGAGCGACAGAATGCATCTAGTAACACCTAATTTTCTTAGTAATTTATTCAGAGGGTGCGGTAGAACCCCTGTTCTAAAGACACTCTGGAGGATATTGAAAATGTGGATCAATGTTAGTGTCTGAGCAACTACGCTCCCCTAACCAGTCAATTGATAACAAGTTAAGATTAAGGCTGGTTTGTATCTGATTTACTAATATAAGAGGCCGAATAATTTCGTTCAAGGAAAACGTCTTATTCAGCATAATTTTTTTCCCTCTTCAGCTGGATTACCCGAGCCAACGACAACAGTTATTCAGCCAGGCGATCGGGAGGATAACAAGTGGTATAAATAACTTGCACATTATTTGTGTTAAGCTCGAAAGTATTTCAAGTTGGCATGGACTTCAGAATACAAAAAAGCATCTGTTTTGGTTGAACATAACAGATGCATCTGATTGGTTGAACAGTGGTTCCAGTCTCCTTTACCAGTTACGAAGCCTAAAACAAAGGAAAAAAAAAACTAAGTGATCCCACAGTGTCTTCAACATTATATAGATTGCTCCATGAAGGTTGATAAAATGTTGAACGGTTAAAAAATGAATTCAGGATTGAGCTGTGCAGGAAATACCGTATTTCTTCGAAGAAGCGCACGGCCGCTAATTTGTAATCTCGGCTGAAAAGTAGGGGGTTGGGGCGCTTAATCGAGGTGGAGGAGGGGTGCTCATTAAGCTAGCTTAGTAGTAGGGCAAATATCAAAAGAAAGGATATCTCACATAAAGGAACTCTGCAAACTTGTTAAGATAGAAATAACTGGAGGAGAAAGAAAATTATTCTCCTGTACTGATTTCGCTGTAGTTTAAACTCTAAAAAGTTATAGATAAAATGATAATAATCAAAGATTGTGAGGGAGGACGGGGGTGGGACGGGGGGGGGGGGAATGGTTGTTCGAGGGGGCGCTCGTTTTTTATTGAAGAAAATAGATCATCATCTATTATTATTCTCATCATCATTTTCATCATCGCTATTATCATTTTTATTTTTATTACGTTTTATTTTTCTTATTCAGGCTGCAGTACTCGTCTGCTGTTGTCCCGAAAACAAAAAGTGAATGGGAAAGCTTTGTTTTCATAGACAAAACACACTGGGGTTACTATACTTGGCCAAAGTAAGTATTGCTAACTTATGGGTCAACGGAGGGTTCGTAGGTGTCCTGGAAAACCTGAAAAGTCGTAGAATTTTATTTTGACATTTACCAGGACTGGAAAGTCCTGGAAAAAGACTACAGATCCTAGAAAGTCCTAGAGATCTGCTTAACTCAAGCAATAAAGATATCAGAATTTACGTTTTAAGAAACGTGCGTAGACCGAAAGGAGAATGGATTTTGCAATCTTGGGAATGAAAGGGGCTAAGGTGAAATTTGCTGTCGTGGAAAAAATAATCTGAATCCTGGAGAAGTCCTCAAAAAGTCGTTGACTTTTTACTGAAAAAGGGTACGAACCCTGATAACGATGATAAATCGTTTTTCCGTCATTGGTTTACGTTACAGGGTAGCTAATTTCTCCTGCAGTTTTCATCAATTTCCCCGATAAGCTCACTCTAATGGGTTATTTCCGATAGAGTCTGAAACCTAGTTTTGGGGGCCAAAGCGAGGCTTGGAGTAATAGAAGGAAACCTGAATGCAGATTTCGAACAACAGAACAATCACTGAAACGTTGCTGGTGCAACTCGCGACTAGACTCGCGCGGCTAAATATATCGGAAATGGGCCATTAAAAACTAGATTTCTGGAAAAGATCATATACGATGTTAAAATGCGCCAAGGACAAAAACATGGCACACGAGGTGCAGCCGAGTGTGTCGCTGATGTCCTCACCATCTTTCGACATCCCACATCCATTACAGAACAGACGTATGGCAAGATCTATTTGTTTGACAAAATAATAGTGATGTCATCTATACGTCTGTCCCCTAATAGATTATAAGGAAGATGCAATTAAAACGGGTGTATGATTCAACTTACTGTATGAATTTGAAATGTTCAATGGCTCCTTTTTATATAGAAAACTGTTGACTTACGCGTCTGCAGACAAGCAACCTCTTCTGGGGAGAACGCGAGATCAACTTTCAGAGGTAAACAACCACCGACAGAATTTTATCCTTTTTGTGTGTGTGTTGTTTATCCGTTCTTCCTTCGTTTGTTTTGGTTGTTTTTATCCTTATTTCTTCACGCGCACCACGCTCTCTCTTTTAGCCTTGAGTTTTCGTTAACAAACTAGCCATGACACCTTTTACCGCCGCCCATGACACCTTTACCGCCTATGACACCTACCGCCTTTACCGCCTATGACACCTTTTACCGCCACCTATGACACCTTTTACAGCCGCCTATGACACCTTTTACCGCCGCCTATGACTCCTTTTACCACCGCCTTCGACTCCTTTTGCCACCGCCTATGACACCTCTTACCACCGCCTATGACACCTTTTACAACCGCCTATGACACCTTTTACCACCGCCTATGACACCTTTTACCACCGCCTATGACTCCTTTTACCACCGCCTTCGACTCCTTTTACCACCGCCTATGACACCTTTTACAGCCGCCTATGACACCTCTTGCCACCGCCTATGACACCTTTTACAGCCGCCTATGACACCTTTTCCCTTTGGTTAAAAGGTCAAATCAGATCGAAGTTACTCACTTGAATTTTATTTTTTTACGTTTCAGGAGGAACGGCACATATACGACTCATTTAGTCAAGAAGAATTTACGTCGAAATTTATTAACTTTCTGTCTTTAGAAGATAGAAAAGGAAAAGATAAATTCAACCTTCATCGTTTTATGTTATTTAAGGTTAGAAATGAAGCATAATTCTTAAATCGCGTGTCCGTAAGCTCTTTGTTTTCACTCTGTCAAAGAAAGAGAGTTGTAAGCATTAGCAAGTTTTTTTCTAATAATAGCCAGTAACAGGAACTTTGATAGTTAAGTGGACATAGCTAAATTGCTACTAAGTGAAATCCTGCAAGAGTGATCCTGTCTCAGTCTCTAAGTAATCTTGTCACGCAAAGGGTTCTATAGAGAGTGTTGCGAGACGAAACCAGACAACAAATGCGAAGGAGACAGCCGACCTCCTTGAAAGCTTTTTGTGTGATTGCTAGTCAGTTTCAGTAGTAGCTACAGAGAAAGCTGCTACATGGAATGTTCCAAACAAACTCTAAGTTTCCTTTGTTGGATATTTCTGTGACATATACATATCTGTTGTTTAACTGGCGGGAGATCCGTATTGGAGAATTTAAGACCAAAGGCATAGTTTTTTTCTCATACGGCCTACGCAGAAAGGTGGTTTGCTTCGTTCCGCTTTGCCGCGAATTGCGGTTAAATAATTCCGGACCGTGGTCCGTATTGAAAAACGAACGCACGATTAACCAGTGAGATTCGAGGATTGAGTTTCCGGCCAGCAGAGATACTTCATAACCCTATAAAACTGTATTTTTTTTTAACAGGGTCTCTTCAGAAACTTTGACGATGCATTTTTAGATTTAATAAAGCCTCACCTTGAACGACTTTGTATAGACTCGCAGGTAAGGCCTAATTTATTGTTTTTAAGTCGTTGCATTAATGTCGCATTAATGTTAATAAGAACTCTGTAAATAATTTGTTTTTATTCTTTCCATAACATGTGAACCGTTTATTTGTTGATTTGCAGGAGAGTAGCCAACGTTGTGCTGTGGAGATCATCGCCGCTGTCATACGAGGATGCAGACACTGGAAATTTGAAACGGTATCTAACGACGTTTCTCTGTAAAGGAAAACTTAACGAGGTCCTTGGGTTGTCCTTAATTTCACTTAGCCCAATGTAGAGAGTTATAAGTATTCATTCTAGACACAACTTTCTTTATGAGCGACATTTATTTTTGGTCAATATGACCGGTTGTCGTCAAACTACGTTTACCCTTGTACCCTAAGAGTGACTAGCATCCAAACTTCCTCACAATATCACCCCTGAATCACAAATTAAGGTCACTATAGGAAGGGAAATGATCACCAACCAAAGAAGCTCTCGATTATTAAACAAATTCTCTTTGATAGCATCTAAGGTAATATATAGAGAACGGTGGAGAGACTATGCATACTGATGTTAAGACGTTAGGGTTAATGAGGTGTACAAAATTGTCTCTGAATATGCAACAGTTGCGCGTCGTGCAACATATACTCTTACCTCGTCTTTTCCTGCCACTTTGTTTTCGTTTTTTTTCCTCTTCTCATCGCTGTCTTATCAGGGGGAAGGAGTCGTCTCCGAGTACTGAATTTTTTTGCTTTGATTATTATTCATTCGTAGTTGGAGAGCCTGTGGGACTTTTTAATTCCTCTTCTGAGAAAAGCCCTATCTGCCGTAAACGTCGAGACCCTAGAGGACTGGGGCACTTGTATGGCAACTGCTGTGGTGAGACTCTCCTATGAATAATCTACCGTATGCGTTATATTTAATTTATAAAGAGGAAAAATGATAGTCATATGAAGCGTAAAATCAGCATACTGCGCCGGAACATCTCCTTATGCTTAGTAGTAGCAATGGTCACCCGAGGTAGCAAACCAGAAGGAGAAATTAACCACGTGACCGGCGTGGGCCATTCAGAATCAAGAATAAGTAATACTTTATTCATTGTCTATCTGATTGGCCCAGACCGTTACGTGGTAAAGTTTCTTCTTCTCTGATTGGCTACCTCGTCATTGGGAGAATATTGTTATTTGAAATTCATCGCAATAATCTGTCTTGCTACAGGAGAATCAGGATCCACGCCGAATTCATCGCTTTTTAGAAATGTTACTTGAAGACCCTTTGGATGATCAACGTGGTTCCTTCTCTGATTCAAGGTTGGCTGCTTTTTCTGATTCTTCTTTTGCTGTAGTGCAGAACACCCATTGCTTGTTTGCCCGTGCACCAGTCGCACGAACCTCTCTCTGGGTCACCCTCTCCCATTCATCAAGTCAAGTGTTTTTCGTTGCCTTTAAGCTTCTCGTTTTTAAAGTATTACATGTGACTTGTGTGTGTGTTTCTCTTCCTTTTCAGTCGTTTGTACTTTATCCAAGGAGCGCTGTTTCAGCAGGAGTGGCGTGTTCCTGATTTATTGCACCGCTTGATGGGTGTATTAGAGCGTCATCTAAACCATCCGTACAAAAACGTACGTGATCGACTGGGAAGGTTAGTATGCTAAAGTTTTTTTTGAAAGCTTTGGACATGGCAGGGCCTTTGGACAGTAATGGCAGACAGCAATAACACTGAGATTATCACTCAATTCCCTCAACCTGGAAAAGCCTGCGCACTCGATATTCGAGGTCTTACTCGCCTCCAGGCTTTGCTGCCCACATAACCTGCCTCGGAAGGTTATAATACAAACCCAATATGCCATATCAAAATTAGACTGGGAAATGATTCTTACATGTTGTACACTAGCAGTTGGCTCAGGCCGCGAAAGTGAAGAAATTGCTGATCCACCCTCCATCCAGTTAGTCGTGCTTGATATCTTCCACCCAGTGGTTCATTCTCTATCTTCTTTGCACAGCATACATGCGTAATACTATACTAGGAAATAACCTTTTAATTACTGATTTATTGTCTTGTCCGCAGTGTTCTATGTAGTGCTTTGATGTACGACCTCAAGTTACGTAGCACCGCACCTACCCGCTCTCCAAACAGGAAGCAGTTTGTGAGCAAGATACTTCCGCAACTGGCGGGACTACAAGAATTAGCGCGTGAGAAGGAAATCATGAGCGGAAGTGATGTCAGTGTAACGAACTCGGAGGAGACTGGAAGAGAGAAAGTGAAAGATGGGTCACGTGAAAGTGATGAGAGAAAGGAAGCCATCAAGCGACTAAAGACAAGTAAGATCTTACGACTTTTGATCGTAGGGTTCCCCTGTATTTTTGTATTTTCTTCCTCTTCTTCTTCTTCTTCTTCTTCTTATTAGTAGTAGTATTTTTACTATTATTATTATTATTATTATTATTATTATTATTACTGCTATTGTTACTTTTTCACTTCCCTGTTTTTGCTGGCTTTTTCTTGAGCTGGTCACATTTCTGATTTTTTTTTTTTTTTTTTTTTACTTTAATGAATGAATACATATATTTTTGTTTTTTGTCTTTTTTAGTGACAAACTGGCTTTTATCACACGCTGTTCGCTCTTTAAACAGTTGCCCTGAGGAATTCTTCGACCTTCTTCCTGTGGTGAGCAATCTTAATATCAACAACATTCCCATACAATTTGTCAATTGAAATAATTTTTGTTGCAAGTTGAAAGGAAAGGATGTTTTTAGCCGGGTGCTAGGGTTGACTAACGTACATTTTAGGAAATGCTTTTTAAACTGGAAAAGACGGCAGAACTAAATTTTGCATCTCTTTTTGAAAGATCCATCAGAAAAATAGAAAAATCTCTCTCTTTCACAAGAAGTGCGTACATTTGCACAAAATTATAATGTAGAATGAAAGGCAGGAAGCAAAATTTATAAACCGACATTTGCCTGATGAGTCAACCCTTTAATCCCGTAGAGTGACTAGCTTCTGATTCCTCCCTACAGTAACACCCGAGAGGCAAACATCATAAGAATAACAGACTTGATCTCAAAATAAAAAGTCCATGAGTGCCACTCAAATTCCCTCGTCAGTACCGTAGGAAATGTGAAGACAACAGTGTGAAGAACATAAATACTGATGTTAGGGTGTGAACGGTTAAATGAAGGATTTTGTCCCATGCTTTAAGTTAACTGAGTAATTTTTTCATTTGTCTCTAAAAGATCATTCTTTTTGACTCTCAAGAAGACGACCCCGAACTTCAACTCTATTGTCACAGGGTAAGTGTTACCTTTAAACTCTCAGATGAGGTCAACATGTAACGCCTCCTTATATAGTCGATATATTATCCATAAGACAGGTGGTGAGAATAGACAACGGAGCAGGAAGAAGGTAGTAACTTTAATATAACTTAAAATTCTGAGCCTATGAACAAGGACGTGTATGGCATCAAAACAGAAAAAAAGGAAAGGCGAACACGAACAGTCAATACTGTTTCTTGATTCCTTTCTCCTGCACTAAAGTTACCTGAATCTCTTTTTCCCGTAGACCATTTCCTACTTATCTCAAATGGAGCTTCCATTTAGTTTGATTCCTGTGGCGTTACAGACAGTCAAACAGGTAGGTTAAACTTTATAATGTCTCTGGAACAAAATTATGTTCATTTTTCACAGAACGAGAAAGAAAACAAATTTCGTAATTTCAAACGATCTCATAGTGTTCTTTCTTATTTATCGTCTGTTCAAAACTACTGAAGAACAATCCAAGGTTTTTCAAGACGCAGGAATTATGGGAAGGGCACGTGACATAAAATAACTATTCCAAAGCATTACCTGTTGTGACCGGCAGTGAGCAAAGTAATGAGGAAATGACTAAAAACCTTGAAATGAAATTAGCTTCTAAATGATGAAATGAGGCTCTTTGCTCGCCCCTGGATCGGTTCCAAAATGTTTTAACATTTTAACGCTATTAGTTCAAAGTGTGTCCTCTAAGGTTGGAATGTTTCTTATGGTATTTCGTTACAGATCGCCAGCAATAACTTGTGGCACCCCAGGCGAAGCATTTTGGAATACCTACAAGTGATGATTTTCGCCAACCTCTTTGCTATCGCTAGTAACGCGAAGTTCGTGTCAGATGTTAAGGAGCTGGTACTTAGTCTCCTAGCGGATGAGCAACTAGAAGTAAGTGAGTCCTGGTGTAATTCTGGCGCATTCAGTATCAGTTCTGAGCGGTCACAGCTTTTTATAATCAGTAGCAAAACCGAGAAACTTATTGGTTCCCTAAAGAGAATCCTTAGAAAGCGTTTTGGGTTTGGCGTGTAGATGGTGATGTGCTGTTTAAACTGAAATTTTTCCACTCTCAGGTTCGTGAGACGGCAGCAGCAACTTTCAGCGGTCTCGTTCATTATGGTTTCTTTGAACTTAACGACGAACTCCAGGTGAGGTCAATTTGACCCCGATTTTAAAGAACGCTTATGAGTGCTAAATTACAGAGGAACTCGTCTTACGACCATCGCATTACACGACACTTTTTCTTCCCTCAAATGAACTGAAAGGCTAACCTTTACATATTTGCAAGACTTGACTCTGATGATGACTTTTATTCATAATGTCAAAACTCCAATCACTGTCATCGACCACAGACTTTTTCAGAACTACTCAATTGCACGACGCTACTATAGAATCTATTATTGGCCCATATGTGCTACCTTAACCCCGATCGGTTAGTCATGGCGGCTTGGCTTCGATGAAAGTTATTGATAATTTGGGATCTCCAGATCACTATTCCATCATTATAATCTAACCTCGCTTTATTTGCCTTTTTTAATATGATTTTATATAATATGTATTTTGATTTTGAATGGTAGACCCAAACCTCGCCGTTTTTGTTCGCCTTCTGTCCCCCTGACTCCCACTGACCGAGAGCTTGCCAATTTACCAAACTGATTTATTTATTACAGAAACAATTTACTAACATGGCGAACACTAAGCTCAAGAAAAGGAAGAAAGGTGTGGTTGGTGCAAACGGACTCAATTATGACGCAGGTACAATTAAAGAACAAATTATCATATTCCTAGTCGTTTTTCTGTTTCATCTCCTTTCAACGATGATGGTTTCGTCTGTTTTTCCTTATTGATTAACGCGACTCAACCCTATGTGTAAATGTGTTAAGACGTCAACTTTTTCCTCAACAATACGTGGAAAGGTTTATTTTTAGATGAACATCGTAAAACTGAGGATATGACAAGTGCAGCAGCCGACCACTGAAACTCCAAAGAACGAAAACATGAAATGAGATCGCGGAGCATCATGGTGGAATACTACTCACGATTACTTTCCTACGACCACGTTCATCCCTTACTTGGTTCGTCTGTAGGTAGAGGAATCTTGAAATAATTCCTTTTCTGTTGTGTGATTTTGTCTTTAGCCCTGATCCATCGTCACGCTGGGGTGTTGGGGCTAGCTAGTTGTGTCCAGGCCTTCCCGTACGATGTACCGTCCTGGATGCCGCAAATCCTGTTGGACCTGGGTGATCATCTACATGACCCACATCCGATACAGGTGGGGCTAGAAATGGAAAACTTGATTATAGTATTTGGAGCTGGTTAGAAATAGAAACTAACGTACTAATCGTTATTTCATTTAAAACTTATGAGTTTGCTTTCAGTCTGCTGTATTTGACGTTGTGCGATAGCATCCTAGACCTGTCGGTGAAAGTAATGCTACTGAGAAGAACTTTCATCTATCACTATCCAACGTGCTTTTAACTCCGTTTTGTCCAACGGGAACCAAGCGATTATAATAAAAGTTAATTAATGCCGTGCGAGCAGGCTATTATTAGGGACCTTACAATCCGACAACGGCGACGGCGACGGCAACGTGAGAAGTCTGAGTCGAGCGGGGCCACGTCGTGTTGGCGTTCCCGCCAAAATTGAGATTACGAATTTTACGAGCGAGAACGTTGACGACGGTCATTGATGTTTATCGTGTTTAAGTCAACGAAAGTTTTTTAGAAAGCCATGCCAAAGTTCCGTGACACTATTCTCCTGGCTCATGCTTCCCGTTTGATTAACGCTGAGCCAGTGAGTTCCTTGTAAAATAAGGTTAATCTACGATTATAAATGAAAATTAGCTCAATGAAAGTATTTATACACTTTGCATCGGTCGAATCTAGTACCGCTGCCGACAAAATCTCTCTACTATTTCCTAGTAAACCCAAAATAAAATTAAGCTCAATTGTTCTCTTTTTTTGATCGAGAAAAAGGTTGGAAAGTAAGTGATAAGAAAGCTCAGTGATAGCGAGTGAAGTACAATCACAAACAAATACAAAGCAAAATAAGTCAAATCTCTCTCCATTTAGTTTGTGGTCGTATACAAAAGACTCCACGCTCTGTTCGTTTCGGATATTTCAAACAAACTAGTATTCTTTAAATTTAGTCGCAAAGTCTCGTTTTTACCTTGATTCATTTGCCATAGTTGGGTTTTAATTTCCACGTTTTCGCACAACGTCAAACAAGGCTTCTAGACGTCCGCGCGTGAAGGGACACCGCCGTCTCAGAAATCTACTCATGCGCAAAATCTCTCTCCATTCAGTTTGTGGTCGTATACAAAAGACTCCACGCTCTGTTCGTTTCGGATATTTCAAACAAACTAGTATTCTTTAAATTTAGTCGCAAAGTCTCGTTTTTACCTTGATTCATTTGCCATAGTTGGGTTTTAATTTCCACGTTTTCGCACAACGTCAAACAAGGCTTCTAGACGTCCGCGCGTGAAGGGACACCGCCGTCTCAGAAATCTACTCATGCGCAGTACGTAACCGGAAGTAAAAAAGTCCCACGTCGCCGTCGCTGTTGTCGGATCGTAAGGTCCCTATTGGCGCTGCAGTACGAGCCGGTGAACGAAGTGAGCGTGCGAAGATTCGTAAGTGGGTCTGGTGTCCTTGCAAACCCGTCGCAGGCCATGTGCACGCTCGCACCGCTCTCTGACTCGAAACCCACATACTTCGCGGCTCGTACTCCAGAGCCAATAAGAGTGTGCTTGGAAGTTATCGTATGGTATCGAGTGGTAATTTCTTTTGTTACCACTTATTTCGCTCCGCAGTGTGTATAATCGAAGCCACATAGTGATTTGAACAAAACTTATCGATCGTTTCGTACTTTTTTCGCTCTCAGGCCACTGTCAAAAAAGTCATGTCGGACTTCCGTCGCACCCATCACGACAACTGGCAAGAACATAAACAGAAATTCACTGAAGATCAGCTGCTGGTGTTGACAGATCTACTGGTGTCCCCGTGTTATTACGCATAAACATCGAGGAACAATTCCTCCCTCAGACCTCTGATTTATTCCACTCTGAACCATCCAACGCTTATCTTTAAGCGCCGCCTTGACTATTACTGTTAACTATTTTTGAGATTTATCCGACGTAATCACATGTTACTTACGTGGTCCTGTAGAATGGATCATATTTGTGCCCAACGCAGCATCTTGTCTCGGAGAAGCTGCGTGACCTGTCACGCTAGTCACGCTATAGAGCTTGACAGGCTGTTTAGAATGAGAAAGCCTCTTGCTCTTTGAAGAAGAACATGAAAGAGGAATCCTTCCATGTGGAATAATCTACGAATTATAAATTTCAGGAGGTGTAATCTTCTGGTAGAAGTTTTATTACATGACACTTCGTTTACAGTACTTATCGATATCGTTTCATGAACTTGGAAATCGAACAGGTTAGCTGTGCTACTCATGCTTAAATAAATGGGGAGGGGGAGGGGAGGGGGGTCTAGCTTGAAATTAAGTATAAGAAAGATTGAAGTCGTGGTGAAAACAACAAATGTGCTTTCAACCTTTCTTTATCGTAAATTTCAGCAGCTCTAAACTTTAAATTGTACCTTTTATATACCAGAGGATAAACTTATGCATGCTCAAATCTTTTGTAACCATATCGTCTTGAGGTTTTAATTGTCAGGGGCTAAATCATTTGAACTTCAGAGTTCGTGCTGTATTGATTTGTTGGTTTTTTTGTTTGGTGTTTTTTTTTTTGTTTGTTTCCTTCACTCTCCTGATGAACTGTGCTGGGAAGAAAGACTGCTGCTCTTTCAATAAAAACAATAAACTATTTACCGTCTCTCCTTTGAACTAGTGTCTATGAAAACTACTTTTAAGTGGGTAACGAATTAAGTGTGCGAAACTGTTTTTTGTAGTCTTGTACTGGCCGATGACAACGTACTCGACATGCCTAGTGTCATTTCTGTTCGTCTCCTAAAATAAGGGAAGATGGATGGAAACTCGCCCCTCAGTGTTGTAGATATTTGACTCCCTGAAACCCAGGAAATGAAGAGATTTTAAGCAAAGCAGTGCCAGTCCTGATCTTGATAGGATCTACAGTCTTCGGGCTTGCATCCTTTTTAGACAGCAATCACCGTGAAAATTGGCATTTGAACATCTGATCCTTCACTCTGTACTCTCTCGATGAGCCATGCTGGGAAGAAAGACGGCTCCTCTTTCAATAAAAGCAGTAAACTATCTACAGTCTCTCCTTTGAACTAGTGTCTATGAAAACTACTTTTAAGTAGGTAAAGAATTAAACGGTGTGCGAAAATGTTTTTTGTGACAAGGATAATCTTGCACTCGACCGATGACAGCGTACTTGACATGCATGGTGTCATTTCCTTTCGTCTTCTAAAATAAAGGAAGATGCGTGGAAACTCGCCCCTCAAAGTTCGTGCTGTATTGATTCGTTAGTTTTTTTGTTTCGTGGTTTTTTTTTTTCGTTTGATTCCTTCACTCTTGATGAACTGTGCTGGGAAGACTGCTGCTCTTTCAATAAAAACAATAAACTATTTACAGTCTCAGTTTGAACTAGTGTCGATGAAAACTATTTTTAAGTGGGTAAAGAATTAAGTGGTGTGCGAAAATGTTTTTTGTGACAAGGATAGTCTTGTACTAGACCGATGACAGCGTACTTGACATGCTTGGTGTCATTTCCGTTTATAAAATAAAAGAAGATGCGTGGAAACTCGCCCCTCAGTGTTGTAGATATTTAACTCCCTGAAACCCACGAAATGAAGAGCACAGCAATGCTAGTCCTGATCTTGATAGGATCTACAGTCTTCGGGCTTGACATCCTTTTTAGTCGGCAATCATCGCGGTGAAAATTGGCATTTAAACATCTGATCGAGTCATACATCACGAAAATAAGCTCAGTCTCCATCATTAGCGAATAAATCTCAAGTTTTTTAGGTCTTTGCCACACCAATAATGGTGAAGTTCAAGGTCTTTTTAACGTACCTGCCTACAACAAACTGCAAATGTTACTTTTTACTTTACTTTGCAGTAAAGAGTCTCTGTAAATTATATTCAAGTTGTGGTAACTTGTCGCCACTTTCATATGCCCTTCGCCGTACACTTTTTGTCGTATCTTAAGCGCCATCACGTGGCACTGTTTAGCTTGAACGTACTCTCCAAGGTTGCGGTAAACATTTCCCAGGTTGTTGTAGCTTCCTGCAACGTCAGCGTGCTCCTCGCCGTATATCTTTTTTCTTATTTTCAGTGCCTTCTTGTGATATGCCATTGCTCGATCGTATTGTTGAAGATCATTGTAAACATTCCCCAAGTTATTGTAAGTTCTTGCTGTATCTGCATGTTCTTCTCCGTAAATCTTCTGTGCTATAATCACTGCCTTTTCGTAGTAATCCTTTGCCTCATGATGCCGTCGAAGGTCACTGTAGACAACCCCCATGTTGTTATAGCTTGTTGCTACGTTCGGATGTTCTTCCCCATAAATCTTTTTGGTGATGTTCAATGCCTTCTTGTAGTATACCTTAGCTTCACTGTAGTCTCCAAGCTTTCGAGAGACGTTCCCTAAGTTGTTGTAACAGCCTGCTACAGTGGCATGTCCTTTTCCATAAACAGCTATAGAAATGTTCGTGGATTCTTCAAGGAACAACAACGACAATTCGTACTGGCACTGCAGTGTTAGCACCCTACCGTGAACGGCTAGAATGTCTGCTTTCAACTTTTCAGTTTCCTTGGTGTTGCTCATGTACTCAATGAATGCACAGGCAGATGTAGAAAAGAGAATCGCGTCAGATGGGTTGCTTAGATCACAACAGACAGTGGCGGTTGTCGAAAGCCACGCAGCTATACTGGCTGGCGTGTTAGAGGACGCTAATGTTTTCACTAAATCACCTCTATTTGCAAGCATAGTGGAGAGAACGTCATGCAGCGCTTTACAATGACTCGTCACTCGCCGCAACTTTACACATGCATGACCGTTCGTGAATAGCTGGTCATACTCTGAGAGGAGGACCTGGTGCAAACTCCTTATTGCGTCTGGTAAAGCCTTTCGGGTCTCAGGATGAGTTATCCGAGTTGCTTTGAGTACTTCGTGCACTATTTGGTGCATCTTGAAGTACTCTGGAACTTTATCGTCTCCACGTAAGCAAGTGATCAGAGAGGATTTCAAAATCTTTGCTTTGATAAGCTCTTTCGTCGGTCTTTCATGAGTTTCTTTCGTGGATGTGGCTGTGCGAGCTTTGACGAAGCTGACAGCTGCTTCAATTGGGAGGGATTCCGAAGCACACAGAGAAAGAAGATAAAATGTCTGACGAAGAATTTCGTCGTTTTTCGAAGCATTGTTTAAAGCCATCTTTACAGCAGTGGTCATAGTTTTCGAGTAAGCTCCATTTTCCTTAGCAAGAGGTTCTTCAGTACCTTCACGTTCGCCTCGAGAAAATGTTTCCAGATAATCATGCCATGTGTAATTTGGAGAGCCATGTCTAACAACAGCACAAACGTAAAATGCAGCAGCTGCTAAGGCGAGCGGCTGGAATTCAAGAACTTCAACAACCTCCTCCGCCCGCTTATGGTTCGAAATTTGAGATACTTGCTTCAGCAGCTCTAGAGCATCTTCCCTTTGCATTCCTACGCTTAGTGATTCATGGTAAGTTTGAGGGGCACTTGTTGGAATGGCACTGGTATCTTGGGTTGTGATTAGAATCTGGCCATGACCACACTCTTCGCTAGCAGTCTGGGGGAGATAGCCCAAGACCATGGACAGGTCCTCCACGTTATCAGCGATAATCAACCATTTGAAGAATTGTCTCATTTTAGGAAAAATTAAACTTTTAAGATGATGGATTGTTTCCTTGGGACTGCTATCTTTCGAGGTTGCAAGCTGAGTCAAGGTGTACTCTGTAACTCCCAACTGTTTAGCTAGAGTGATGTAAGAATCCACAAGAGTCTCCAGAGTTTCTGCATTCACGGTTGCCACGAATGTTTGACCGTCACTCTCATCTGATGATGTTGTGGAGAATTCTTGTCCAATCTGACGAGCAATTTGACTTTTCCCACAACCAGGACTGCCTGATAAGTAGACTGTACTAACCACGCCTTTGCATCCATCTTCAAGCTTCTGCATTTGGGTTAAAATTCTTGAAACATCATTTGTACGTTTGACTATTTGATGAGAAGGCTTGAATGGTAGGTGACAGAAAGATACGACTCTGGAATTTATCTCGTCAGAAAGACATTGGATCTGTTCTTGTTCTCGTAGTATGGTGTCTTCTGCCTGCTGTAAATCAAACGTGAGCTTTCGAACCTGTTCTTCTGAGGCATGAAAATTCGACTTTGCTCTCTTTAATTCTTCTTGAAGGTTATTAAGTAAAGCCACAAGGCGATTCACTGCAGAAGTAGGAAAGCTCGTTTGATTTTTGACCTCTTCAATATCACTGATTGGAAGACCCATGGAGCTGAAATCAATCAAAACTCTTCCAATGCTATTGTGAAATTCGGCATCTGTAAATTTAGCCTCGGTAATATGGGCGATATAATTCCTGAATTCACGAAGATCACCTACATTTGTCCTTACTAACCTGCTTAAGGTTGTCCCAATACTATCTGAGAACAGGATGGCAAAAAACAAACAGCTACAGTCCCACTCTGCGGTGTTACCATTTTTGATCGTTGTCAGTAATCGCGCATTCCTTGAACGACTTTTCTTTGATTCGCTGTTGAAAAAATCGCTACCATTCTGTGTTGTGTCTTTCCATTCTCCAAAGCTTCCTTTGTAACGGATATCCCATTCTGATTTGAATACGCTTCGGAGACTTTTTGGAATCAAGTCAAATACGATGTAACAAATTCGGAAAAAGTTCAACTGTTCTACAGTGTACTCCATCGTGACTGAATTTCTGTGGGGAGAAATCAAATGCACCAAGTTGAAAAAATGCTGACGCGAAAAAATCATTAGCCTGGGATCTAGAGGAAGACCGTTTACTTTTGTGAGTGAGGATGACTCCTTCGTTAAACATTACTATGTAATTACAAGATTTATTACATAATATCAGTAAAAGCAGTTTTTCTTTGATCCCAAACAAAGTTATTAGTCGAATCGTTCACGGCTTTGTTTTGTTTGTTTGTTTTCTTTTTATGTGACAGAATTTTTTTATCATCATGAAGTTGCAAAATCCACTTTTAATAGGCATGATCCTCCAGCGACCTCCTCTCTTTAACAATCACCTCTTTTTTAGGGGAATTGTGTTTTACAATTGCTCTTTTTTCAAACTCTCTGCTATGTTTCTTCATGTTTTTTTGAAATAAAGTTGCTGTCCGAACAACCCAAAAAAGAATGTGTCATTACACCTCTCCCTCCGTGTGAGTTTTGACTATTGAAAAAAAAGACAAATACATTTGTTTAATGCTGTAACCAAATACAGCTAGCGTAAAAAACAGAATTATCCTTTTTACTTTTCTCTTTTCTTTCTTTTCTTCTATTTTTTTGGAGGTGGAGGCGGGGATTGAAATTAGAAGGTTGTTTCGAAATTTAATTAGAAGGTTGAGATAATTCTTTCGCTTTTCCAAACTAGGCGAAAAGTCATTTTGAAGCAAACCTTTAGTGCAACCTTCATCAGTAAGCAATAATTTCAGAAAACCGTCTTTTGTGCCAACCACAGATTATACGAATCTTCGACATCTTCAATCCTCAACTTGCTTAGATTTATCCTTCCTCGCAGCAGGCGTGACTACACGTGACTTCTTCCTACAGTCACGCAGATGGTGAATCAATATTTCCTATTTACAGCAGATTTCCCTCTCATCCGGGCCAAGAAAAGCAATGCATTTTTAAATTATAAATAGATCGCTAATTTCCTCTATCTTAATACGATCCAGCCTTGTGCGATATAGGATAAATTTTGTTCAGTCTCACTGAAGAAAATGGTAACGTCATTGACAGGAAGAATGAAGTGCGTTGGTCATACATACATACATACATAAATTCACTCATTTTAGAGGCATTTAGGTTGATTTTGTGCACTTTAAACGAGCGATACCGACAGTCTTTTGATACAGAGCCCACGGTTCCTGTCTTTCTTAAAAACAACTTAAATTTCTCTGTGATGACCCTTACGCGAACTTAATAGTTCATATGATTTGTTTGTCGCATTCGTTTTAGAGATCCTAAAATCAGTGCCCATAAACAATAGTACAGCGGCACTGAAGCTGTAAAAACAGCTAGGAAGAAATTTTGGAACACTATGTACGTCTGGGGTACTAATCCCAAATGAAAACTCCGTGGTGACACCATATACTACAACTGAATTAATTAAAGACATCTGACACATTTTCCATGTATTCGTCTGAACACAATAACTGTTTTTAAATTCATTCACTCAGGGGTAACCCTTTCTATTCATACTTACTTAAAACGGTTCCGGTAAACATTTCGTATCTCTTTCAGTATCGATCCAAAAAGGAGAGTGTCGGGCAAAGACAGCACGAAGATCGAAAGTAAAGGTTTTAAATTGTGCTGCTTCAGCGTCATACGATATCCTGTATTTCATTTATTCGAGAGGCGTGTGAAAGGTTACGGAAGGAATACTTACCTACCGGCTTTATTACTGTGAAAATTTCCTATGGGGGTAGGGGCCCCATTATGACAACCGATGACTTTTTAAATGTGGAAAGGCTGAGCTATTTTGGGGAAGTAATTGGATGGTTTCATGCGGTAATCAATCAAATGAAAAGCCTAAGTTTTTTTTTGAATCGGGTTTTTCCCTTTGTCCATCGTCACGCTAGCTATATTTAGTAGAGTTATCGATAATAGCCTTAAACTATAAGCCTTTTCATGATTTAAGTGTTTGATGGGGATAGTTCCCGGCTATTTTAGAAACTTAAAATTGGGTGAAGTATTCACCTATTTTTACATTGAGGCGTATTTTTCCTTCACAAAAGGTAAGGGCAACATTAAAGTAATAAACCGCTTGACGGTTGAGAATATGTAGAGGAAGTGGGAAAAAGATTTCTGGGATCTGTTTGCCAGATCAGATGTCCAAGAGATGAAGGGAGAGTACTATTGTAAAACGACATTTTATAACCACACTTATTGCTATCTCTAATCTGATTGACTAAACTTTTGCTACTCAGTAAAGTTGCCTGGTACATCCCACGCCACTACTGACGTGTGGACGTCTTGTATTCTGCCGCATACACCTTTATTGATATCTGACGGGTTATACCAGCAACTAAACTACTCGCTACATCTAGTAACAAACTCGGCTTTTATAAGTGCGGTTGAGGATCTAGAACGTTCTGTACCATTGCAATAGATTCTATTTATATATTGATTCAGGGATGACTCAGCATGACACAGCTACTTCTAGAACATTCTTGAAGGTCACACTACAACTACCACCGGATTATCACGCGATCGCGATCGCGAGCGCCATGCCTCGGCATAAATGAAGATATTTCGGGCCATGTTAGCTCACATCCTGCCCCATTTCTGCGCCACAACTATTTTTATCTTTCCGCCAATTTCACTGTCAAAAACAACCTGGGTGGGCGTTGAAGAAAAGCTCGACAAGTGAGCAGTGTTTTTGCATCATAGCCGGCCTTTAAAGTAAGTAAGGAAAAAAATATCTTGAAATTCTTTACAGGCTCGTTATGTTCTGAGAAATAAGTCCTGGTTTTTCAAATTTGTCCCATTTGTAGTTCGCGTAATACTCGAGTATCCATTATCGTCTTAGCTCTATATTTACGTACATGAATTTTCTATTTTTAGAATGGACTTCCCGTCTCTGAGGTATTATTAGAAACCAATGGAATTGAAAACAACTCCCTTGTTGTCAGAGGTATACGGGGAGATGAGCGTTTAGATAAACAGATCACTCTTGAACGGACTATCTTTATCGATCTCTTTTAGATTGAGTAAACTCCAGACATTCTTATTTTTCATCTACGTCTCTCCCCGTAAAGGAAAGAATGTAGCATACTTTTTTTAACTTTACGTCACGTCGGTCCACCCGAAGTGGTGATAATGGTGAGATGCAATGGAAGCCATACGGCATTAAATGCCTTCAATGCGGTTCAATTGTGCTCATCTTATCTTCAAACATGCCACAAACATGCAGAATTTACCTGCATACAATAAAGGAGTCATTCACAGGCCAGGCGAACGTATTTGACAGAATTTATTCGGGCTCGAGTTACAGGAGTGAAGATGCTATTTGTTTTTTGCTTTGTTTCTGCTGTTTTTTTTGTTTTTTTTGTGGTTTTGCATTTGTTATGTTTTGGTCTTTTAGATCGAGCTTGAGAGAGAAACCCCAAATGAATGACCACTCCTCAAAACACGTTTATTGAAACAAAACCATCTCAATAATTTAGTCGTGCACTCAACAATTAACAAGGATAAAGTGTCCATATTCCAAAAGGATAATACTAAAAGTGTTAATCATTTGTTCCTTCGTGTTTTTCAGTGATACTTTACCATACAAAAATTCTTATGACTTAATGAAAAAAATGAAAAGGATTTCTTTATCAGCTCTTTAACCTCTTTACATCTAAGATTTGTCGTTATAAAAAAAATGCTACTGAGCTTCATGTGCAGGAGAGTCCATTGTTTTTCCACTAATTTTTCATTTTACGTTGACAAAATACGCTTAGGCTTTTAGCAGGGGCGTAGCTTGGATTTTTCTACGGGAGGGGGGGGGGGGAAAGTAACAGTGTAATACCCAAACTACCCACCTAAAAGTTAACTTCTTCGTGCTATTTGCTACCTGAATTATGAGGTTTGAATTTCGTTATATTTAAGAGCACTCCAGAACTTCACCCATGTTCTGTGCATGTTCCAGAGGGCAGACTCACCCATACCATGCATACACATCAACACAGGTTTTACCGCTATTGTCTACCTCTCCGAAGTCTATCCAATCCTGTCCGTACCATATCTGCATCTCTTGGTTGCTTGAGACAGACAATGGATTGACGAGGTTGCGAAAAACCAGCTCATTTGAATCATGATGATATCCGGGAAGATTGTAAAAGTGCTCTCTTTCATTATAATAGCCGAAAACAAAAGCTTTCAAGTCTTCGGTAGGGGGCAGAATGGCCTTCTTATTGGCATCTGTGATGATCGTCATCAAAGTTTCATTATATTCTGGGTGGGTGCAGCCCCAGTAGGATGAAAGAGTAGAACTGCTGCAGCGCACCGACCCTGACCTGTGAATAAGCTTCATTGTCTTCACATGTCCACTTTTTGTCATTTTGAAGGAACCATATTGGTCATCTTTGGCTCCAAAGCAGATAGGCTCTTTGCCATTTATCTTCTGCCAACTCTCTGTTGAAAAATAATACGATACACCTACTATTTAAGAAATAGAGAAACCTTGACTGTGCTCTGTTCTGTTGTAAAGCACGCAGGAAGTGGCTAAAGCACTAAGGAAGAGGAGGGAGAAACACGAGACATAGTCGAGTGTTTCTCCGCACTTTTTGAGTGCTCTAGCCACTTCGTAAGTGACTAGAGAAATAACTCGGAAAGGATATCAGAGCAAGCTCTTAACTGTTTACTCGAAGGGCGGCCGAGATAATTTCTCAGGCTTGCTTCACTGCGATGACCGGAGATCGCCTTGATCAGCTAGCCGCGATGGACCTCTGCATGATCGTAGTCGCTCTTACACCGTCATGATTAGTATATATTTTTTGTTCTGTTTTATTTTTGAACACGAAACTATACATACTACACGAGTGTTAGCTGTGTTTGTTTTTTGTCACCGTCCTTAAGCTTGAAAATGTGAGCGTGAAGAGCTTCAAAACTTGGAGTGTCCATATCGTTTTCTCTTTGAGGATTTTCGTCTGTGCTCACGTTACAATAACGTCAATTACGGCGCTTGACATGTTTAC